ATTCCTACAGTGCAGCCAGCTGTTACGCATCTCATGCCACTGATGGTGAGCAGCTGATGACCTTTGGCTTGGCAGCAAGCAGAAGGACTCATCTTTGTGCAAACAGTCAACCAATCACTCTGGGAGTTGTGAAAATGAGTAACACATACTGCTCACCCTCTTGAAAATGGCCCGATATCTCACTCCGGTGCAGAAGCCCGCGACCAGGAAGAGTTTATCTTTCAAATAGCCCGCAAGTTCGTATGATGATCCAGCTGTTCATAGACACACCTGACGTTAAGTGTTAGTCAGGATCAGCATATAGACCTCGGAGTGTCTGATTGAAGGTATTTTTGGAATGACATGGTTTGGATTGCAAGGCTTTGCATTAATGTTATCCAGCAAATATTTCTCTTCCGGTTGGCCTGATCCGTGGAGGTCGATCCAACGGTAATTGTTGTATCAGAGCATTAGTTTCCTTTGCTTTTCATCTGAGTCATCTAATCACAGAGCACTTTACAGGGTGGATTTATGGAGTAGGACAGAAAACAGCTGAATGCATAATTCAATAGCAGATCTTAAAAACAACAGGATCACAGGGATTGGATTTATTCAAACTTAACATGCCTGGAGAAATAATAGCAAGCAGTCATATTGAGGTGCAGAGTGCAGGTCAATGTACAAAGTACAATATTGTCAATTTAGAATCAAGAATACACTTTAAAACACCCGGTCTGGAAAGCAGCCCATGCTCGTAGAAATAGTCCAAACCGAGGTACATTTTATTTCAACTTATGTTGTGGTTCTAAATGTCTCAGTTTTTGATAAAGAGGCAAATCTCCTCTGGCTTGAGTTTCATTCAGTTTCTAAGGATACTTTGTTACTATCTCAGAGAGTGGTAAAGTCAGTTGGAGATTGTATGAGGCATGCACAGATCCGTGATGCGTGGAACTTGTATATGCATTTATAACAAAAAGGGGAACATACAATCGAGTTATTTCAGTGGTATTTTACAGAAGTCCATCTGCTGTGCAAGTATTTAGCTCAAATGTGATTTGGATTCAAACTTTAGTTAGTGGGGAGGAAGACCATTCCCTTTAGCCTGAACGTACATTAACCGAAAACCCAATTAGTCAGGGTTCATTCAATCAACGGAGCTGGCTCCTGCTTTCCCCTTTGTTTTACAGCCTTGTTGGTAGCTTCTTTGTTTTTCTAATTGGGTTTCACAGAAACACCAAGTGATTAAAGAGAAAGCCTCTGAATATTCACTTTCTTTCATTCTGTTACATTTCTCTGTAAATTCTACTTGTCTGAGAACTCGACGTCTGCTGTCGGTGTTAAAATGTCAGTTTATAACTCAGCGGGTCTGTTGATCACTGTGGCTTAAATTATAGCTGTACAAGATAACAGCTCCCCTCACAGTGCAATCTGTGCAGGCCTTCCTCTGCCTGCTCTGCTGTGTGCCATTTAACGGGCTCCTTTGTTTCTGTGACGCTTTTCTCTGATCATAGTTATCATCAGCGATGCATTGCAACTTGATGCAAAATTGGCGGTTTCCCTCATGTCGTGAATCCTGCGGTAATTTTGCACAGATTTTGTGCACAGATTTTGAGAACATGTCTCTGCATGTGAATGGGTCCATTTACAATGCTAAACATAGAGAATATGTTGATTACTTCTAAAGCTGGTTTTGAGGAAAATTAACTCTAAATTTGATGGGTTTGAATATGTTACTCAGTTTAGGCAATGGAACAAATGGAATAGATCAAGAATAAATATTACCATAAAGGGGGCAACTTCTGCAAAACAATCAGTAAGGCAAAATCTACCAGAATATGACAGTCCACAGCACCTGAAATAAATATAGCTGATCTAATTAAATATCCATTTTTAAGGCAGAATGACGTGCTTATACTCTTAACACACATTGGTTTGAGTTCTGAGATTAAACCACAGACGACACTCTCATTCTCTTCTCAGACGTGGCTGTTGCTGAGTGCTTTTGTAATGTGAGAGGAGAGCGATACAGAGATCTACGCAGTTTGCCTCACAAGCAGCATTTCCTACTGAACCACCAAACACATGAAACATAACAAACACCAGATAAAACTTACTGTGCGCAAACCCTTAAATAGCATCAATATCACACTGACTCCGCTAAAGAAGGTTGATAGTACGGCTGGAGAGCTCACACGAATACAAACAGACAACCTGGAAACAAGCCCGTTGAATTGGTCGATATACTGAGGGGGGCCGATGAGGAAAGTGGAAACAGGTGGGCGGTGGATGGACTTAGGACTTAGGTGCCTGGGACAGGTGGAAAAATTGTGAAGTCATTGGGTGGATCGATGGAGAAGGGCAAGGCTTCCTAAGTGATGCACGGGCCCGGGGGATGTGGCTGTGGGAGACTGAGGGAAATGAAGATGTATGAGGCAGACGTGGTGACTTTAAAACACAAACGTCTGGAACAGTCAGCAGGTTCAACAAAGTCTTTCGGATACATCGCGTGAAGATGCATTCATGCCGATCCATGAGATGATCGACTGGGTGGAGGAAAAGTTTCACTTGTCCCCGTCTGGCATGTAACAGCAGCGGTCTGTAGATCTTCATCCTGTGGAGGTCATGAGTGTGTGAATGTAGAAAAATCTCCGATGTACGTCCATACAGACACTTGTGAGATACTTTGGACATCGAGAAGTCCGGTGAGCAAGAGCTTTTGTTTGTTTGCACATCAAACCGACGAGGACTTTAAATAAATTCAGACATTCTCTATGTATATCTTGCCAATTACTCCCTTGTTAGGAGTGGACCGCAGTGAGAAGGAAGCATTATGTAAACGCCGGAGCTGTGACACTTGGCCCGTGGACAAAGCTAAAGAAATGATCTATGGAGCAGTGTGCTCGTGTTGTTGTTGGTGGGCGGCAGCTGCATTTACCACTCGAGCCTGTTGTTCCCTCTGACTTAATGAGCAACAGGGTTCAGCGAGCGCACGGATATCATGCTTATCACAACACCACCAAATGGCCGGCTTTTATTTCCTATTTTATTCAAAATGGGCCAATCATTTTTATGAAATGTACATTTAGTGTTGATCCAGGCAATAAACGTCAAAAACGAGGTACTGTGGTAAAGAATCGATTGAGAAGTAGGGTATTTTTTTATTATAGACTTTAATCAAATTAATGTAGGCCAGTAGAAAGAATCCAGGTGTGAGGAACTTCCACATTGAGCTCACTGTTCAGAACTGGAGGTTCAAAAACAACTTTCCATTAGGTGAAGCTCAGGCCTTTTATTGCTTATATTCAATATAAATTCAGTTTTAACTGTTACAGAGCCAACTATCTATGGCTGATATTTGTTTATATGGTTTATATGCCTTTGTCTGCTGCTTTATTTATGCTTCCTCCTGATCCAAAGGACACAGTGGTCTGCTCAGACCCTATAATAAAGCATTTTAATGCCTTTGGCAGTTATTGTTCAGATATTAACGTTCTCATTATGAGACTTTTACAAGAAAAATGTCATTTAAAAAGCCATTATGAAATAGTTAATTATGCTGCGAGAATGTCTATATAAAGCATACAGCTGTTGTCAATGCTTCATTGCATTCAATTTGCAGTACTGACTTAATTTTCCAGTTTGGTGGTAAACAAATACTGTGTTGAAGCCTTTTGTTCTTTAACGCACCTCAGATAGAGTCTCTTGATTCCATGGAGTTCTTCTTGTGCTTCTGGATCACATTCACAGCGTCTTGTCTCCCCCTGCAGGATACTTGCAGATTTCAACACTCTTTTGGTTTTCTCTTGCAACACTAGCTGTCACTGCAATACAGGGTGTGGACATACGGCTGTATAGTTGCCTTTGCCTCATTCAATTTAACAGTTCATATGGACTGATCATGAGACCTGAATCTTCCTCAACTCTGTGTTTCATGGCTCCAGAGGATTATGCCACAAAATCTACTACAAAATGATGAGAAATGGTTTGTATATTACTTTTATTGAAACAAAGACAGCAGATTATAAATAAAATGAGCATTTTTAATAATTGCCTCAATCTAGATTATGTTTTGGTGCAACTTTCCTCAAACTGTACCACCTAATAATTCAATAAGACTACTTTAGCATTCAGATGGAGGATTTACACCTGAAGCCTGAAAAAAAGAGTGAACAACACTGATATCTGCTAACACTGTGTCCAGACACCTTAGAGGTGAAGTGAAATGGCGCTAAAAGGAAAAAAACGCCAGCTAAGCTTTGCACATGGGTCATTCAAAATCCACATTCGTTATATAAGTTTTAATTTAGTTGAAAATTCAAAAAAAAACTTGCGACCCAAGAGACTTCAGATGCTTTGGGCCACGATGAGCTCAGTCCTTTTCTTTTGGGGAAACACAAAAAGCGAACTGTACGGAATGCCAGGCTCATCGTGTATTTCCTTCTTGTTCGATTTCACAATAAATGTGGATGCGCTGCGAACTCATTACACCACCCGGTGCTAAAGGGCGCATGAGTCATCGCGGCCCCTCTCCCCAGAGGGCTGTATGAGACGGCTCACAGAAGCCCACGTGCTGCTTTTTTTTGCCCTCGCTGATGTCATATCCAGAGACTTCCTGAACACAAGGTTCATTCACACAGCCCTCCTTCTGACACGGGACCAAGCACCAAACAAGCTGTCTCCATAGCAACTGCAGCCTCTGGGAGAGGGGAGGTTGTTGTTATTATTTGTTGTTTATGGGAGGAATGGGATTTGAAGTTTTACTTGGGTGAACAATTTTTATGTTAAATATATGACTAATAATAACTGATGAACAAACACAACTTGATGAGTCACTAGCTACTGTTGGTCTACTAAGTTTCCTCTCATACTAAGAGTGAAGAGACAGCTTTGAGCGGTCTGTACTGCACACACTGCACTGAAGGAACACTTGACGTTCTCCTGTCAAGACCTTAAATACATGTTTAATATTCATTCGTGAGAGAAACGGCAGGAGGAATATTGCATCGAAACAGAGACAATAATGATGTATATGATTAGTATTTATTGCTACTTAAGAATACAAAAATAGCATGAAGAGGTTTTTTAAGGCGGCACAAGGTCTAGTAGAGGCGACAACATCATCAAAGGAAATAAAATAAGAACGTATTAAAAACATTTTCATTTGCGATGATCTCTTTAAAGATTGTAAAATGATAACAAAAGCAGAAACAAAACTAAACTATGGCCACAAACAATTTATGTATCAAAATTCACTTGAGAAATAGTTTTACATTGTAACAAAACAGATAACATATGATGATAACTTGAACTTTGTGTAATTAATAAACATAAGTATGTAAAAGATACTCAGACAAGAAATTGTTTCTCTTTTATCCTCTTTTGACGTTGACACACTATTTACAGTAAAAAGGGAAACATTTATTAAAATAGATTACATTCATTAAATGTCAAATGCATTGGCTCAATGAGCAATATCATTAATAGATCAATATTAGTTTTACTAATATCACAAAATAAAATCTTTTATCAAATAGGTGCATTTCAAATACTAAAAACCAAGATTCAGTCTTACAATTTCCCCCAATTATGTGTTTTTACCACTTTACTTCACTTGCTACCTTTTTCTCTTTACAATCATAAAAAATGGCCTGCTGCACTTTCAATATACTACAAATTCCCCCTGTAAAAATTACAAAAACATTGTTTTAAAGTACAGCTTTTCCCGTTAAAATACCTTGTATTAGCACATGAGTTTACACACTGTGTTCCCGTACTCTGCTTACAGCGCATATGAAGTATAATTACGTCCCATTGCTGCATTTCGGAAAAGCAGGACGCTTCTGCATAGGCAGGCATGTAGCTTTGAGTATAACAATGTCTGATCATTATGAAATACTCAGAATTCAGCTATACGCAAAACAGTACGACAGTAACTTCTTTGGAATATTTCGTTTTAGAATGTCGAGGCAGCCACATATGTTACTACAATCAATGTTGAGAATATTACAAATACAATATACAAATACGATTGAAAAAGCAAGACCACCTTGATAGAGACAGACTTTTAAAAATAATTTCTGATGAAAGACAGGGGAAAAAAATCTGCTCTGGGAAATGTAACATTTAAAAAACTGTAGAATCATGCTGTTGTTTTGGCGTGGCAGTGAAGTGAAGCCACTTTGGCATTATAACCTGAATATGATGCAATATATATTTAAAGGGATATAAAATGGTCATTGGCTATTATTCACATGACTCAAACATTACGTGAAAAAAGTAATAACATTGACTCCTTGTCATCGAAAACAGTGCATATTAGGAGGTAACGCAATAGTTCATTGGAATATGGTTAAGGCAGAGTGCGCTTCACTTCAATCAGAAAACTGCACTAAAACTGAGATGATCAGCACGTAAGCATTAGACAATCCTTTATTGTAAGACTACAAATCAAGTCAAACACAAGGAAACACATTTTGTGCAAGAAGCATTCAAACAAAAACGATGCCAAGCTTTTTGGCCACAAGAGCTATTTGGTTGATAATATTTGGAATGAAACAAAGCTATTGACAAACAAATTTACTTGAAATAAAAGAAATCCACAAATTGCAAACGGCTCCATACATAACTGTCCTTCACAAGTATGAAGCAAACATGTGGGAGGCAAACAGCTGTGAGTTCATAACCTGAACGCCACGGCTAATGCTTTACTTCATCGCATCTCCATCCCTCTGTATGGCTGAACTGAATCCAAACTTCAACAGAAAACGAAATATGAAAAACAAGGTACATTCGCCGGGTGTTTCCGTTTTTTGGAAAGCGTGTGGCAGACGTTAAAAACGGTAAGATGAATTCTTCTGTTTGCCAAATTAAACTGTTTATTGCAGGAAAGCATCCAAAAGCAAACACAGCAGTCGGCAGCGGATGTTGCTTCCTCCGTGGTTAAAGAAGATGAGGAAGGCCAGGTCTGATTGCTGCTCTGTGTGTGTGTGTGGGGGGGGGGGGGGGCGTATGCTGTAATTTCCTGCTTGGATCCGTCCTCTATGTCTGCCCTCTGGCCTGAACGCCCGTCAGATCCTTTCTTATGATCTCATTCACTGCAAAGCAAAGAAAGAGAAAAGGTGGTGAGAAAACAGTGATTCAATCCATGGATGGAGGCTGCACTGATGTGGAGTAACCACCAGAGGTAGAGCTATGCAAGAGCTTCTAACGTGAGAACTCCCTGTTGCTCGGATGGTTCAAAGTGTGTGCATCCACATCATCAAAAGAGGACGGTTGAAATGGAAACTTTTGGTTCACGGTGCCAAAAATAGGATCATGATGTAGAGCTGGGGAGGGGGGAAGGGGGGGGGGGGTATAGAACTTGTACCGATGCATTCAAAATAAAAAATACATTTCAGTTTTGAATAACTGAGATTCTTTAAGCCAACAAGGAAGAATTTGAACGTTCGCCGTGCACGAGCGGATGAAATAAGCACTGACATTTAAGCGGCGATGTGAAGAGGAAGTGTCACCTGTAACTGCTCACCTCAGTCACACTTTCGCCCGTAGTTCTGCATTTAACAGGAAGGACAGTAGAGTATGTGTGACATCTCTACGGATACAGCCACACCGTCTGTGTGGGGCTGCAGTGTTCATCTGGGAGTTAGGGGCTGGAAGCCTACTGTGTGTGTGTGTGTGTGTGTGTGTGTGTGTGTGTGTGTGTGTGTGTGTGTGTGTGTGTGTGTGTGTGTGTGTGTGTGTGTGAACGCACTGGCACTTGGAGCCATTATACGCTGGTGCCACCGCTTCCATCATGCCTCAAGGATCTAATTAAGGTCGATGAGTAATAGAAGTATTTCAATGTGGGCCAAAAAAGCTTTTTGCGTTAAACTAAGCCTTTACAGTTCAAATTTTTGTTGAATTGGATGAAAAGATCAATATAAACTAAATATCAAGCCAGCCCCCCAGCCGATTACTTTAGCTTAGCATCAAGACTGAAAACGGGGGGGAAAAGGCTAGCCTGGTTTGTATTTTGTAAAGAAACAAACAATAACTTATTCACAAATAAGTAAGCTTGGGACGGTATTGTAGCTATAGATGTAACCTTAGGACAGTCACGTAGCTGTTTATTACTATCGCAGTCGTAAAGAAAGGCTAAATTATCCATCCATCCATCGTCAAACCGCTTATCCTGCACACAGTGTCGCGGGCTAGATTAAGCTATGCTAATTATTTTTCTGGGCTGCAGTTTAATTTCCAGTGGACTAATATGAGAGTGGTCTTATCTATTCAAACTATTGGTAAGAAGGCAAATAAGTCCAACCATTCCCTTAAATTAAATAGGAAAATAGAAAAATAAAAAAAAGTGCTAAGCGATCAACATGATTTGCCATTGAAAGTACGGCCAGCTGTTTAAAAATACTTTTCACTTTTTAGAGATTAAGGGACTTTAAGTTAGTGCATGTTTGCTTAATTTAAAGCTTTGATTGCAAGGCCAAGGGTGAAACTATTAAAACCACTTCACAAGATCAGCATTTAGGAGGTACAAATATAAGCATATGGATCCATTAGATCCTGGAGAGAAAATACTACTAATAATTCAAATAATGAAGCAATCTCCACAGCTCCTCTGTTATACAATCTAAAAGAAACTAGGATCTGATCATTTTTTTTACAAATTGGAAGAGAAAGCATCCATTACAGCAGCTCAAACAATGAGCATGTTTTTCAGCCGGAGCAAATCAGAGGGCTGCAAAAACCCAAGCAGCAGTCAAACCGGGTGCTCTGCTGTCGTCGCAACATCACTGTCCCTGTTCATTTCAGTCTGTAGTAGAATCCCCTCTGGCACTCAATGCCTTAAAGGAACTTTCATCTCCCCAATGTTGCCACAGGATTTTTTTTTTTCCCAAACCCCAAAAACTCAGAAGGCGCAGAAGCGCCGCAGTGGGGGCAACACACAGTGGGGCTTTGCTGAATCTAATGAAGGGTTGGCACCGGTCGGCTATTTGAGGCTGGTGCAGGGGGAACACTCGGCCTAGTCTGTTCAATAGGTAAGTGTCTGGCTCCTGACTCCTGCACCAATGAGCTGCACTGTTTACCAAACCGAGAGCGAAACAACCCCGTACAGTAGCTGACTCAGTCGGCGCACGCTGCCTGCTGCCAGCTGGAATGTGTGCGTTCTTGTGTGGCCGCCAGCATTTGCATGATACTACGGCGTGCTGTGTTGCGCTGGTACGTCCATAGCTTAAGAAGGGATTGTGATGACAGCGCGAAGCCGAAAACCAATGAGTAAAAGAGAAAGTGAAGTTAGCAGGCAGACAGTTAACCACCAATCTAACCGCCGACACGGTGAGTAACTGCTCACATTTCTGCGATGTCGTCAAACAAGGCGCACAAATTCCAAAAAAAAAAAAAAAAAAAAAAAAGGTTATTGGTTGCATTGTTGATGCTCTCTACACTGGCTGTGACAAGGTTGCTGTCTAATATAGTTTCAATGGAAGATTCCTCCATCCTTGTGCATAAATGTATTTTAATTTTACTACACGGCTTCCGTTGGGCTTCACAAATACAGATATTTCTTTTGAACAGACATTACGTTTTACTAAATATCAAATAATATTTGAGAGGATGAATATTGTTTGAATATTTGGTACACTAATTTATGTCCCTCGACATGACTTTTTTTATCTAGCAAGTAACAGTTCAAAGTTCCCCCCCCCGTCGAATATTTAAAAAAAAAAATTTTTAAACTCATCAGCCTCGACTGTAGTACTTTTTGTTTACCCAGCTATCGTAAGCATGCTGGTACACGTTAGACTTAATTAGAATCAACACTTCCGTGTTGCGGACAGTGCTCTTCTGATCACGTGAGGATTGTTTTGGGCTGCCGAAAGTCCACACGCGTGAACAAACGGGACTGAGATGCCTTCTCAAGTTGAACAACGCAGCATTTTTTAGAGCGCTCGTCCTTCGCTCATCGCTGCGGTTGTAACGCGGGCTGCGTATTTGACCAAGCCTTCCAAAACGGGACGGAAGTGAGCTGAGACTAATGCGTGTCCACCATGCTGTTGCTGTGTGCTTTATCTCACTCGCCCCTGATCTCCGATTTCACCTGCTCCACCGCCTCCGGCTTTATTCCACACCTACTAAAACGCGTCTCCCTCGCTGCCTTTGCAGGCTGTGCCTGTGGCTCTTTCACGGTTCGCACAAACTAGGCGGGCATGCTGTGAGACATTGCTTCGTGTTCTTAACCTTTGTTACTGTTTATTGAAAGTTGTATTTATTCATCCATCAAAGAGCCTGTGTGTTGTTTGAGCACCGACAAGGAGGCATGGGAACTTGGTGTGAGGGCTGAAGATACAAGTCCTCTGCGTGGGAGATTATGAGCCCCGTTTGGGCACAAAAGAAATACCTGGCTTTCGATTAACACTCTTGACTGAAGTTGACACAGTTGAAGTTCAGATGTGACGGTTAGCGACCACAACACTGTGACGTTACCAGGATGTGGCAATCGCCCTTTTTTCACAAAATGACAACAGGCTGCAACACATGTCTTTATGAGTAATGTTGACAATCTCCCTTTGTTTGATGGTTCAAACCTAAATGACTTGCAGTCGTACACATGGGGAATTTCTTTGACTCAATTATCGTCTCTAACTTTTGCTAAATTTTTGGGAAGTCCCCCCTTATTTTTCTCACTGAAGCCGTCAAAAAGTACTGCAAGAGGATACAGACGATCCAGCATTAGGAATAGAGTTCCTATTCCTAATTCCTACGTTCGACAAGATCTCCAGTGTGCTTGTGAAATTAAAGAAAGATACAAAGGAACCCGGCAGAGCAGACCGGCGCGTTCTGACGACTGGTGGCTCAAATAGTTCGACTGTTCCTGTGAGTCTGTTAATTCACCGACTCGCAGCCCTGTTGCTGTTTACTGTGGAGGGAAGCCCATCCAAAAAACACAAATTCCACTGCTTTCCCTTTTTCTTCCTTTCATTTTTTCCATTGAAACACACACACACACACACACACGCACAGAGCCCCTTCCCTTTTCCTGCAAACTACCCTCCACCCTCCCGCTATCTTACAGGGATCAGCCTGGACTTCTGGAGGAGAACAGCTGCAAATAGGAATTCCGTGTGCCAGATTGGCAGAGCCCCGTGGTCGGAAAAAAAGCTAATCCTCTGGTGGGTTCCCCCGCAGAATCGGGGGGGCGTAAGGCCAAGGAGAAGCTCCGTCCAACTATAACAAACAAAGAGGCTTTCCCCGGCTCTCCCAGGCAGCCCGTTCCACTGTTTGACAATGGTTGCCATGGAGGTTGTTTTTCCCTTCATAACAGTGTCAACATGTCCAGGCGGCCAGCAGAGTGACACTTTCTTTCTCCCTCCCTCTTTAATGCAAGGTAGAAGGGGTAGAGGGGGTGGGGGGGGGGGGGTGCAGGGGGGCTAATTGCCCGATGTGCATCGCTGCCAGATGAACTCCTGCGACCAGAGGGACGAGCATCATCGAACAGAGCGGCGTGAAGCAGGCGACTGCATGAACCCGGCTCGTGGGGCTCACCGGGCTGACGCCCTCTTAGGATTAAAACACAATATAGTTTGGGAGAACCTTTTAACTCCAAACTAAAAGAAGAGGTTCAACATCCTGCCTGTGGCTGGATGTGGCCTGACATTAATTCTGTCGGAGGGTAATGGGGTTGACAAGAGAAAGTATAAACATATGACTCATAATCCCTGTTATTTCCACCTTGAGTGGAACAAAACTACAGCTCCTGGCAAGGATTGTTTTAACAGTGTGAGCTTTTTCTGTTTGCCTTGTTCGGAGTGGTACTACACCGCGTAGATCTACTGTAAATATCCTTGAATTGTTCTTATCATCCATCTTTTTCAACTGAGAGAATTGCACACATCCATCACTTGTCCGCGTGCTTTTTTTTCTTGTTTTTTTTAAAGCCACTTAGAAGGCAAAGGAACACACACTGTGGACACATGAAGCTCTCCCACTCACACGGAGTATAAAAGCATTAACTTACACTCACCATCATCTAGGTATGCCTGGTCCAAGTTCTCCTCCTTGACCGTCACCCTCCTCTGAACGTCTCCCGGAGCCTCCATCTGCTCCGCGCCGGGTGGGGTCTGGCCTTTCTGCTGCTCCTTCTGGACGTAGGGCTGCTGCTGCTGCTGCTGGATAACGGTGGGATAGCGCTGCGGGTGGGTCATCGCCGTCTGGGCCTGGGGGGGCGTGGGCGAGTGGCCGGCGGCGGCGGCCTGTGGGGAGAAGCCATCGCAGTAGACGATCTGCTGGCCGTCGGGCTGAGGGGCAGCCAGAGGTTGAGGGTCACCCCCGCGAAGAAGGTGCTGGTTGGTGGTGGAGAACTGGATGATGGAAGCGGGCTGGCCTCCGCCGGTGGGACCCGCAGACGGAGCCGGGGAGCCCGTGTGCACCAGGACCGAGCGGTGGGGGTCGGGCATCAACCCGCCGGTCTGCTGACAAAGGCCCCCGGGGCCCCCGCTCAGGCTCTTGCCCCCGCGGGAGTACACGATGGCCGGGCTCTGCTGTTGGAAGCGGACGTCTTGGCTCGGGAGGCTGGAGCCGAGGCGCTGGCACGAGGCCATGCCGGAGATCAGGCCGCTGTCCGGATGAAGGCCGCCGCGAGGGTTCTGGTAGTAGGAATGGGGGGATAAACCCAAAATCTGAGCCATGGTGAAGCCCATGTGGTCTGACTCGTATTCATCTACGGGCTCGGTCTTGATGGATGGACCTGAAAAAAAAAAAATGAGTAATACATGTAAACGTTCTGAAACTAAATGTTGTTTGATTAGAAAAAATAAAAAAATCCATGTCCCAATAACAACAGTAACCACTATAAAGGCTGTACATTCCCAACCCCCACGCTGTAATATAAGCCCGGCTGAGCAGCGTTCTTACATGAAAGGGGTGTGTAGGAGAAATGCTGAGGTTGGCTGCGCTTCCTCTTGCCATTAATTACGTAGAAGTTCACTTTGACAGAATGGCAGACCGACGCGTCTTGGTAGGAGGGCACCTCCACAAACAGCATACTCTGCAAGAACAGGTGTTTTTGTTTGAACTGAACTACAAAATCATGGCAATTGACTCGGTTAGTGTGTTTTAACAGGTATTTAACAGCCATAAAAAATACATACAGGCTGGCTCTTGTCTTTGTCCACTGTGGCTTCCGTTTCCCAGATGAGCTGCCCATCTAAATGAAGAGAGAGAAAAGTAGAAGATAGAGTCTTGAGCACTGTGGTATTTAACTCAGCAGTCCGATAACTAAGGTAGACGGTACCGTAGCTCGCCATTAAACCCTAAGCAATCAAGCAATAGACTTTTCCTGAGGCCTTGCTATTTTAAAAGTGTTTCTTTTTAATAATTTAAATACAGTTGTATACTGTACGCGTGTAGCTACCGGAACTTTTAGCTAGATTCAAACTTGTTGTAGACAGAAAAGGCCTCATTTTGTATGTAGATAACATCTCTTTTAAAACCACTTCCTCTCACACCACCCGGCACAGCTAAAAAGGTAGGGATGGTTTGCAGGTTAACCCTGCGCACACATGCGCCGGCTTCCACCCTTCAGAAAGAAAATTGCCCGCGACAGGCACACCTTTGAGTGACTGCAACACCGACAAGAACCGGAGGTCGTAGTTTACGTAACATTGCACTTCAGACACCATTCGAGCGGTCGTGAGGATGAAGAAGTCGACGGCTAACGAACGTAAACTCAATGCGCCCTGAGAATGCTGCACGTGCTGCAGGGGAGTTCTGTTGGACTGTAGGTACCCTTCGTCAAATTGAAAACACATGGCCTGAGTGAGTCAGCAGGAGAGAGAGAGAGGGATTCCACATGGCTCGCCAGCTTCTCTCCCAAACTTTATTTTTATGATCGAATCTCTCCACGTCTTACGAAAACGTGATGACTACAGCTTTCTTGGCGTTGGCGGTTGTTTGCACTTTGTTGCATTTTCTACTCTCAGGGATACTCCGGCTCTCGATTCCGCCTCCGGGGGTGTGTGGAGCCGGGAAACGAGAGACAACCAGAGAACACGGAGGGAGAGCCCGGGCTTTTCCTTCGTTCTCAGCACAACCCTCCCTGTCCGAGCACGGGAGCCAATGGGGGAGGAAGAGAGAGGGGAGGGGGGGGGGAGAGCTCTCTCTCGCTTCACAGCTGCAACGGTCCACGACTTAATGTCGTACAGAAACTCTCCAAAAACAATGGCAATCCATCTACGTAATGTTTCTTTTTCCGTCTCTGTTGCACACACACATACACACACACACACACACACACACACACACACACGCGGCAGCAGGGAACCCCGGAGAAAAAGGGGAGAAAAAGAAACCGGGGCCACCTTTTTAATGGAGGCAATAAGCATTTAGAAATCAAAGCGCTCCAACTGAAGTGGAGTCAGTGAGTCAAGTCAATTTTTACACAACTGCCCCCCTCCCCCTTTTGACAGGAACTAACAATGCATAACAAAAGGATAAACAAATAAAACTCTTAAAAATAAAAACATGTCACGTGACACACACGCAACTATTAATCTGTGCGAAAGGCTCTTATGAGTCGCGATAAGAAATCATGTGAGACCGGAAGGAGGAAAAGGACAAAGGGAAGTGAGAAAGCAGTGTTATCTTGTTGATCATGCAAATAACCCGTGCAGCTCCTGCTATACAATGAGGGTGGGGAGGTGTGACAACCTTGACGTGTTTTACACGGACACGGATGAGTCAATGTTATCACTTGGTGTGACTGTGTGACAAACTTGTGCTGTAAGATCAGAACCAACATGCATGAAGCATATATATTTACAGATTAAGTTGTAGGTTTACAGGCAATTTATGTCTCGAAATGCCTTAAAAAACTGGTGTTTTAATTTACAATTCGACTTTTTCCCCACAGGTTGCTCCGGAGGGAGGAGGCACGATGCGGATTGAAGACACTCACCAGAGCTTTTCTCCAAAAAAATGACCTTGGAATCGGAGCTGAAGTTCTGCCCGGTGAGGATCATCAGCTGGCCGCCCAGAACAGAGCAGCTGTCCATGTCCTGCTTCTCCACCATGGGAAGCTCGTGTGCTGATCGCTGGGCTGCCGGGAAACACATAGGGGGCGGCGTGTTATAGTTACTGTCGGTCGCCCTCGCATGAGGACAATGTTAAAACACATGAACTGGTGTTTGGAGCTGAAATGATCACTGAAGCAATTGATTTGACTGCTTAAAGTGGTGATGGACATTTGCCAGAAACCCTAACATTTCGGCTTTAGACTCCTAGTCAGACGAAAACAAGACATTTGAAGATTGTCGCCGCAGGCTGGTGTCTGTAATGTAATCAAAGAAGGTGCAAATGAATCAATAACAAAAATAAGCCGCTGCGCTAAACTACAATGAGAAAACACACTGTGTGCGTTGCGGTCAAAGCGCCGTACGACCGCACAGTTCCCAACGTGTGCGACGATGTCAAACACGCCAGGGCTTTTGGTCATTTTCAGGTGAAGACTGCGTAAATGCTCAGGGCATCGATTAGGAATCCAGGTTTTGAATACAGGGTTGTTGAAGAGTTACTGTCGGCGATGTACCTTATTATCTACCAACTCTTCAGCCGAAACTCCCGACTCGCTGAGGCGAGCTGAGGTGTCGACAAACAACGTCGTGACCTTTGAGCAGGTTTATTGGCCGTCGCTATACAGCCGATGGGGGGGCGCCTCCTCAAACACACCCTCGCTGACGGTCGGCTTATCGAAGGGCCCCGACAGATGTGTCACAGGGGTCTTTGTGAGCCACTTTACACCCGACCGGTTTTCACTCACGCGACAAACGTTCGGAACGTCATCTCGAGGCCGCCAGGTCGTCCGTCGTGAAGCAGAAGCGACGATTACAAAAGGGTATTTCATAAATCACCTTTACCAATAAAAGGAAAGATATGATATGATTGACGTAGACATTGTGTCTTGACCGGGGCGTTAGTCAAAGCTAGATAAAGGGCCTCCTTGTTTGAGTTTTCATTACACCGGAGGGCTCTAATAACACTGTGTACACATGCACTGATGTACCCAAACACAGACTTTACTACCGCGCACGTACAAACAGACACACTGCCACCGACTGTGTGGAAGCCCCCGGTTGCATAAAGACACCTCTGTGTGCAGGACTCCCAGCTCATTTGAATGTGGGTTTCTGCTTTTGAATGTTTATTTTGTATAAAGTTTTGTTAACCGGTGAAAAACATCAGCAGTTCGACCTCAAAAAGGAAGCATGTGAACATAATTCGTGAACCCTTCGCATAAAAGATCTTTTAAGAAAAGCCCCGAATTAGAAACGCTCGATAAAGCATGTCACACAGAGTTGTTTCACGAGTAGCTGCTTACAACACTCAATGGGATGCGAGGCCACTTGGAGAGAGACGTGTTGTCCTCCGGGCTGAGGTATGTGCACACGGAACACCAGGCGAACTCGGGTGTTTTTCCGACCGATGTCCGTCTCGCCCTTCCGCAGCTCGATGTCGGCGTTCCTGAGCTTCAGGATCCCGGCGCAGTCGATTCTGTGAGGAGGGACGGGCGGGTGAGCAGAGCACTTTTAAGTGGGAAGACGTTAAATAAGTGAGAAATCGAACGCGCATTGTTATATTCTCACATTGCTCTCATGTTGTTCTTTGGCTCCAGGGGGATCTCGAGGACTTTGGTGCCGTGGATGACCTTCTCGTAGCTGGTGGTCGTAACGGTTTTACCAGTGATGCGGTGCACTTGATAAAAGGCGTGGGGCTTGAGGATGCGCTCATCCGCTGTGCCGATGAAGATCTGCAGGCCAAGTGTCTCCTTTCCTCTGTAGCCATGTAACTGCAGACAACAAAAAATCATTGGAAAGGCGATCAAACAGAGAATCAGTACGACTGCAATGGCTTTTGTTTGTTCGCTCGGCCTTTCCAGATGTTGTCTCCCCCAGAGGTGAGCCATCGGGGTGAGACCCACACGTAAACGTGTGCGTCTTCCTTTCTGCACAAAGCTCACATGCTACAGCTTTGTACCGTCTCACACTTTTGGCGTAGAAGTATTGAGCGAGGGGAAAGTGCGAACTCGAGGTAGATACAGAGGCAAAGAGAGAGAGAGAGAGAGAGAGAGAGAGAGAGAGAGAGATGTAACCTGAGAGGGCCTCCTGAGGAAACCTGCAAAAACCACAAAGCATCAACTTGCATCCTAATGCTGTTATTGTGCAAACAGTGTGGTGCATCACCTTCACGACAGATTGAAGCGGAATAGAATTTTACTATAGAAAAGTATGCCGCAGTTAGTCCCAACGCCTGTGACTGTTCCCTTTCCCATTTTTTAGAAATGGTTATGTGACTGGGTGCTACCGTCAGAGCTCACAGCAGCTGCCGAGTGCGAGCCGAAGCGATGGCAACATGAATGAGCATACTGGCCCCATTTAATCCAGGGAGCTGACACACAGGGTGAAACATAGGAAGCTGACTGCAAACACTCAGCGGGGCCGTTGTCATGGCAGTGGCCGGAGCAGTGAGTCATGACAGAAAGCAGTGTAGGAAAAGGGGAGAAAGAGAGAGAGAGAGGGAGCAAAGGAGGAGGAGAGGATGCAGAGACTCGGTGAAGGCGTGCTGTTGTGGCTGGCCGGGCCTGACCATCTGATTGGCCGGGGCAAACCAGGCAGAACTGACCTGATGGGAAGACGATGGAAAAGAATAACCCAACCCGGTAACCCAAAGAAAGGGAAGGTGAACCTATTCTCAGACTGCACTGCGAGCCACAACTGTGTCACGGCTTAATTTCGGCACACCATGTTGTGGCTGGAGGAGAAAAATTAGCAGGCTCCTTTTTTTTTTTTAACTCCGCCTGCTCCTGCGATTATCTTTGCCGCGGGCCCTGTTCATCGTATTTTACACACGTCTGGAGTGTTTCAACACTTCGAGACAACTTCCTTAACAAACGAGACCCACGCAGTCAACAAACCATGTGTGTAAGAGGAAGTCAGGGACGACATGAACACAGGGCTGTTTGTGTGGTTAGACTCGTGGGGGCGAGGACGCACAACAGCTAACTATTTTCAGCTGGAAGGCAGAAAGAAAAAAGAAGCTTACGTTGCTCATTGACCCGAGTTCAGCGCTGAGGCTTTTCATGAGGTTACGGTGTGTCTGGCGGGAGGGCATGCTTTAATGAATTGTTTTAGAAAGTAAGAAATAAGAAAAAGGTGCTGTGAGAGAAGCCAGAGTAACTCGTATAGTATCCCTTTTATACAGCTGGCCCCGGGCAATAACACCACCACCACCACCACCACTGGGTGCATAATGATTAGGAACACAACCACAATTACACAACCTCCCATCAGGCTCCCAGACCAGAAAGCTAATGGAATTTACCTGGCAGCATGCCTTCATATGGTTGGGCAGCACTTTGGGACGTGTTGAACGCATCGCTGAGTACCAGTTTTAATCACTTTGAGTGCCTTTTTCATTTCAGCCGGGGTTTTTTTTTTAGGGCCGTACCTGCACAATTGGATGTCCTCCCGTTGGGGCTTTGACTGCACCCCTGCTGCCCTCTGTCTCGTAATGAGCCCTGTGGTGTGGTTTGGGCTGCACCTCAACGTGGAGCTCATACTGGTCTGTGCGTCTGGGGATCGGCCACTCCAGCGGTGGGAGGGAAGCCACGGGGATGCTACAGGAACGCAGAGAACACAGGAGAGGACATTGGCCCGTGGCAATCATCGCGGTTATCCCCTGAGAAACAAGCCGCGGATCGTCCCGCCAATTTACCTGCAGATGCTGGAAACCAGCGGCTTGGACCAGATTTGGGGGATAACAAAGAAGGGCTCTGCGGCCGGTTTGGCTTTTATGTCCTGGTCGCAGGACACCAAGTAGTTCCCTTCTGCGTGGTTCTCCGAGTACAGAGTGTAAACCTGGTTTGACGTCTTGACTATCTTAGTGGGCACCAGGCCCGGCTGCCCGGCGCCGAAACCGTTCACGGCGTCGGCCGGGCCGCCGTGCGTGTACTGGGAAGCTACGCTGTGATCTTCGTGGCCGCTGTGAGGGGAGGGACTGCGGGAGCGGTGCCCCGGGACCAGGCCCGGGTTCCTGTACATGTCGTAGGTGCGTTTGCCCTGCGGGGAGGCGGAGCGGGAGCCGGGCCTGGAGGAGGGCGAGCGGGTGCCCAGGCCGCCGTCCTCGGCTAGGCTGGCGCGCGGGGAGGTGCCGGGGGAGGTGCGGGGGGAGCCGGCGTGGATGTTCTGCAATCTGGGACACAGGTCTCCGGTGTTCTGGCCGTTGCTGGGGGACACACAGGGGGACGCCCAGGGGGAGTAACTCTCAGAGTGCCAGCTGGTGGAGGAGTTGCTGCTGGCGGGACTCAGGCACTGAGGCTCACGGTACGATTGATTTTCGTGGCCGGGCACGGCGAGGGTGGGTCTGGGGCTTATGTTTAGGTGCTGGTTCTGCAGGGAGTCCCGACCGTGGATGTAGTGCTCACGGGACGGGGTGATCTCGATCCGCGGGCTCAGGGCCAGGCCCGCAGGCCGGGTACTGTCCAGGTAGTGTCGGGCCTCCTGGTTCTCATATCCCGAGAGAACCTCAGCGCTGTGGTCCCTGTAGGAGGGACTGCAGGACTTGATGCCGTAAGGGGAGACCTCGTCCAGGGGAAAAGCCTGCTCGGGGCTGAGCACTTTGTGAGGTGCAAGGTTGGGATCATCTGCAAGAGGAGGAAAGTTGAAATATCATCACAACAGAGCTGGGGGGGTTTTCCTATCAATTCATCACAGACATTAATGTTCACCACTGGAACCCGTAGACACAAATCATAGTCAAATAGTTTAAAAAAAACTCTTGTTGCCTACAAGTAAAAAATGCCTGTCAAATTCACTTCCTGAGTTTTTCTTCTTCCTTCAAATGAATAAAGCCTCACAGGCCCTAAAGTGAATGCCGAGCCTTCGAATAACCGAGAAAGGGAGAGAAGTGCGCTGAGGTTGCCATGGACCCCCGACCGCGACCAACCTTGATATCCTGCAGCAAAGTCGCTGCAAGGTGGTTCATATTCAAACAAGTACTCAAACTCCAAATCCTCATCAAGGCAGTTGACCCGACTGAGCTCTTCCTCCAGATCCTTGTCGTCGTAAAAAGAGGTCATCTGTGTGAGCTGTCTCTCCCGAACGACTCCCTCGAGTTCAGGCGAAGAGACGGAGGCGCGGTGCCGCTGGTCGTGTGTGTTTTGGGAACCTGCTCGAGTGTCAACTAGCGAGCGCATCGGCGATCCTGCAAGAGGTGAAGCGCACTAGTTTCCTGTTTCGGCGCGCTGCAGTTATTTTTGGATGGAGGCGGGTCTATTTTCACAACGCGTTCGAGTTCATCGGCGTGTCTGATCACGCCTCTCCTCCTCGTTGACGCGTCGAAAAAAAAGGAGAAGAGGGTGAGAGAGAAAAAAGAAAAGCGCAGCCCGGGGTGCGATAAAGTGAGTGTCCCGTTCGAACCGGTTATCGCGACTCCTCCGGCGGACTGTGCGGCCTGGTGCTGCCCCCGGGTGTCTGACACGTGACAGTGAAACAGCAGGGTGCCGTCAACGTGTTCGACCACTGACTCGCACTGCCCCCGTAGACAGGTTGCACGCGTGTGTGTGTGTGTGTGGGGTGGGGGGGGGGGGGGTCTGTTATGTTCATAAAGAACTCCTGAGGGAATCCCCAGATTTACGCACGACGCAGCGCGGACACTCGTTACTTCCTGTTGTGGAAGCACATGCTCCGCCAGCAAAACAAACACGGCGCCCAAGGGAAACATTTGAAAAATGTTGATATATATATATATATATATATATATATCTCAAGTAGGCAGGGGTGATTTGAAAATAAACAAATATATATATATATCTTTTTGTTCAGAAATTATTTCATTAATGTAACTCCAAAGTTGGATAGCAAGTCATAACTCAAGTACATTAAGTGGTCCGTTATGCCGAGGAAACATAGCACAGAGTATTTCATTATTACATAATAATAACATAAAAACAACATATCAACGCTACCCGGTGACGCCGAGGCACGCGCGCCGGACTAAAGCGCGCGCCACCCAAAGGTCCATGTGTAACATGTCTAAACTAGAACATGGCATTACAGCGCACATCAACACAGACGCCACAATCCCAGAGCTAAGGCTACTCCAGCAATTAAAAATCAAATGGTTTGATTACCAGATAATCACAACACTTCAGCAGTACCTTGATCCATCGACCTCATGGTGTGGTATTGTGCCAGCATCCAAGCCTCTCTAAACATCTGGATAAAAGTTCGGGGGGGAAAAAAGAATTAAAAAAAAAAGAATGAAAAGAGATGAACTTTCTGCTAGTGACAGCAGCAGAGAAAACCCGTCTTCTGTTGAAAATGTTGAAAGAAGACCCCGCAAAAAAAGACCTCTCCGTGTTTCTACGCGTTCAAAAAACTTCAAGCTGCGAAACAGCAGCTGCGCGCAAACTCTCCTTCTCTCCCAAAAGCACGCGGCTACAGCAGAGGTTCTGGTATGAGGTCCCCCTTCCCAGAGCTCTATAAGGATTACTTGCGTATCAAGAAGAGCGGCTTCCTTCCCCGCTCTGGGTGTTTATAATGCTCCAATGCTGTAAAATAACGGGATTCCCTCAGTGTTTCCTCCTGTTTGTGCGCCTTTGCCATGGAAACCTGGAGCGGGTCCATGTCGGAGACTCAGGGCTTTCCTGCGTAGCCCCACACTCAGGAATCCATGACGTCTCCGGCTCCCGCGCCAAGGCATTTCTGCGGCTTCTCTCAGACAGTAGCGCACAAGAAGTCCATTGTAGGGCTGAAGAAATGACTGTAGGAGCCTGTAGGAGAGGCAGATATAGAGGGAGCGGTTCTCAAGTTCGATTACAGGACCCCCCCCCCACAGGGCATTTCTTTAATACGGCTCAATGTTGCAGTTTACTCCACCTTGGGATTTTGTTTAATGTGAAACAGACTACTTTAAAATCCTTCTCTGTTCTGAGTCAGTTTAAGTGGTCGTGGTTCGTTGACGTTGAGAAAAGAAGACAATTCGTTCCCATTGAGGGAAGAAGCTTCGTTTCCATTTCCTAATGGAAATCAGAAGAATCTTCTGACACGTGACTGGAAAGAAGGCTGAACGAAGACCACTACAAAGTCTGACCCCAGCCACGAGGACAAATCCTGCATCAATGGAAGTTGCATGATGTGACAAGTGAAATCTGATGTTTTGGATTGATCTGTACTCCGTTTTTATTTTGTTTCCTGTTGCAACCATAGGCCTATATCTTTTTTTTTTTATTTCCACACTAAACGTAATAAGTTGCACATGTTTTGACCCAAGGTCACTGAACTGTTAAATCCCATTTTGTGACTATTGGTCAGAAAAAAGCCGCAATCTAACTCAAAGGGCCATTGATGCATCGTTATGTGGTGTAAGCGAGCACGAGAGTCCATGCAAAGCTTTTATGTTTCTTGCCAATGATTCTCCCAAAAACAACAAGGAGCAAATGAAAGAATGAAGAAATCATGGCTCACTGAGTCGTTTGCTCTGGTAAGAAAATGCTAGGCCCACCCAGATGGATGCTAGTCCTGCCTGAGCCCACAGATGTCTATCCAACTTATAACTAAATGCATATTCTAAACAAATACAAAATAACTGAAAGGCAATATAGCAAAAGAAAACACTAAAAATGTATTTAAAAAATAAATAATTAAATTAAATAAATAATAAATTAAATAAAACAAACATCTAACACAAACAAACAATCAATCAATCCTTCTTCATATCAGATAGACAATTCTAAAACAATGGATACTTCTGTGAATAGAGTTATGGTGGTGACATTCGTTGCAGTGTAGCCCACATCATTTCCCAATGAACTGCCTCATGATGCTGTAAATCCCACGCTGACTTCACAGTGGTCAGCGTGGCCAAATCTGAATCATGTCGCAATTTTTTTCAAGTGTATTCATGTCTTTGTCACTTAATCAAGAAATGAAATGCCCATGCGTGTCTGGGTATTTGGGTATACTCTTACATTTCTAAGTTATTACACATTATACAACATTATTGGATTTAGCGAAACCATTTTCCCATTTGAGCTTATCCAAACGGATGATCAACTTCCCAAACTTCTATCTAGTTTCAAAAGCGCTTGTCAGACGTTGATGATCACAGTGGTGTTCATCCTCTCATTTAACCACCTGCCGTCTGGCAGGTGGTTAACAGCCACATGATCACGATGCTTTGTGATCATGTGGCTGTTTTTACAGAGTCTTTCCCGTCTCCGACTGAACTAAAGTGACTGAACTTCATCAAAACCCCTTTCAGCCCGGAGCACAGACACCTGGAGCGGGTTCAACCCGGTCAGATACACAGGAGCTACTGTAAATAACGCTTCAGCACTCTAGTGACACTGAAAGTTGTTGGGCTCTTGATTATAAAAATAGACCTGGTATCCAGAGCCTGTTGTAAAATATTGACTGTTAATATTTGTTTTGTTGAACACACACACGTAACACATTAACCACTGAGCTTGTTATCTGCAATAATCCACAATAGCAGAACCCTGTTGGCTTTTTACTACACTACAGTACTACATTTCCTGTGCCTCTGGGACGGATCCCGTGTTTACAGCAGTCGTGTCGGACCCAAGGCCCCTCATAGGGTAACGGGTGTACTTGAGAGAGGATCTGTCTTGGATTGAGACAGGGATCAGTCTGCGGTGCTGGTCCCGTCGGGTGAACGAGGTGACCGCATTTAGGCCGTAAAGTGCCGTGGGCGGGTAACAAACCATCCAGCAGCCTCGTGTACCAGATGTAAATTCCTCCTCTGCTCGGTAGCTCGGGTTATGAATGAGTAAATGAATACGGCACACGCTCGAGAGAAGGAAAACCGTCCTGCGTCCAGACGGCCGAGTTTGCACCTCCGCTTTTTTGTTTTTTTTTTCTCAGAGAGAACTTGTTTCCAAGTTCATGCTGTATTTTCCATCACTGTAAAAACAGCTCATTGAGGTAGAGTTGTCTGGGTTAGTGAGTTGCCCTCCTTCACTTTTCCAAATGTAACACGTGTGATTCAGCTTTTAAATCCAAGCAGTGGAACTTTGATATGGAAATGACCCTTTGTCTCTTGTCTCATGGAAAATGTTCCAAGGAGATTCAAGGAGCAAGATGAAGTGTGGATTATTGCCTCCATGTTGGTGGTTTAAGCTGCTCCCTCACATGCATTGAACTTTGCTGCTTTGCATTAGCTCGGATTGAATCCTTGTTCTTTGAGAGTTAGATACCCATCTCATCTCTGTGGCCTAAATATGACACAAAATTTACTTAATTACGTGAGTCATAAATTCACGAAAGCTCATCTACTCCTTCCACGGCAATAAAGATCAATAATCTTTCAACAGTTCAACACTAAAGTGACGCAACATTTCTTTTAGTGAAGGGAGCCTCAGATGGTTTTAGTATAATTCTACAAAGTCTGTTTTTAAGGAGGTGTAATAAAGAAATCAGGAATCTGTGGTTGATCTTTCAATGATGAAGCAGCATAATGAAATCTCACAACCAGCGACGGAGCGGCTGCAGGGTTCAGGTGGGGGCCGTGCCGGCATGTCATTGTGCAATAAGGAATCGTGTTTCCTTCCTGCCACAACTCGAGATCACTGGAAAACATTTTTCCTTCTTTTTTTCCCCCAGCTGTACCAATGAACAAATTCGTTCCGTCAACATGTGAACGACATACATCCACGCTGGATGTCATGCAGCAGGATTCTGATCGATACTCGAATGTTTGTGGAAAGAATTCACGCGTCTTTAATCCGGAGGAAAAAAAAAGGACTTTCATAAATCCTGTGAAACGATATCCCTTCTCCCCTGGCAACACTTCTTTCTGTCTTTTCCAGGTTTCCTATTCCATCGCACAGTATTTCACACATCTGACATCTCTCAGTACCAGCACAGTGGGGATGCACAGAATGAAATACTTGGTAGTCAAAACAAAGCGGGGTAAACTCATCCAGCGTTTCAGCTGAAAGAGAAACTCAGTCTTCCCACTGCGGCCACATTCTTAACAACTAACTGTATCTCAGACTCAACAATCGAAATTAATCACTCGTTGGACCGGTTGAAAAAAAGATGGGTTTAACCGACTGGTCTAAACTGGGAGGTTTTGTGCATTTGTTCTGGGAAGCATTAACCAGTGTCAATAGAGATCACAGGGAGAGAAAAGAACAAAAAGTATCTGCAGCCCTTCTTTAACTGTCATGGGTAGTAATATTAATCAAAAGCATTCCCGGCCCACAGAGCTATAAATAGTGCCGCAGGAGGGTGCGTGATCATGCCTAGGGATGTTTCTTCGAGGGGGCAAGTCAGTGCCAAAATGCCGTGTTTACACAAGAGCCATGACAGGGCGTAGTAAACACTTCATCTGCACGCTTCACGTCGCGCATTATCTTCTGTCATCCATCGAGGGTTTGTGTTCTTTCAAAACGGCATCACGCAGACGGGTTCAACGTGGCCTGTAACCCCTGTAGGGCATCGCGCACGTTACCGCCAGTTAGTCCACTGGACCTTTGCAGGAACGAGACGTGACGCGGGGGGGGCACAGCGGACCTCCGGGCCCCAGAAGCTCTGAGGTGACCTCTCCCACGTGGTCGCCTCGGCCTGGAGGTCGTATCTGGATCCCACATGGTTTCCATGCTATCATTAGCATCATCGAGAGCATTAGTCAGGACCCCGTGACAGTTGCGGTAGTCTCTCCCTCTCTCTTGCGCATTGTTCCATTGGCGGCAGCGTGTGAGATGTTTTCCAAGGTGGAAAATAAAAAAAGAAACGCGCCGACCTTGTGATAATTAGCCGGGATGCCGCTCGCGTAACAGGAGGCTGCCTCTCTTTAAAGGCTGCAAATCCCAACCTTGTAAAAGTGAATATCAAAACTCCCTTTGAGTGTGGTGGGATTGTGGACTTGGCCGGGGACCAGCGGCGGGCCCCTCCATCGCTGGCGTCGGGACAGGAGGAAAAGACCACGGATGTTAAGGCGAGCAGGCCGCTTTGTTGATTCTGGAGCGGATTTTCACTTTTCATGGGACTGATTAAGTTAAATGTTTTTTTTAATGGTATAACTTACGCATTTGGGCAATGGAACAAGAAGGAAAAAAAAGAAGAAAAAATAAGGTGGACACGCGCTGTAGTTTTAATTTGAACATACAGCATTGAGTTGCTTGGCTGCATGTCAAGAAAAAAAGGGAAAGGATTTTATGAGTGAGAATTTAGTCCAAAGTCAAACATGTGAGCTTTAACACTTTACGCGTGACTCCTTATGTCTGTGGTTATAACTTTCAGTGATTTAATAAAGGCTTAATTTATGTCTAATGAAGTGAGGTGGTACTTTGTGTTACTTTTTCTCGGTTTGTTGAAGGCCAATGAGACTGAACGACCGGAGTGATTTGTGACTGTGAGGCGGCGAGTGAGGAAACATCAGGGACTCCCTCCTCTGGTGAGAGAGAGACAAACACCCGGACTCCTCGATGAACAGAACGTTCTGTGGAACTATCGTAACTCTGCTTGATAGTTTCAGTCTAAATTCAGGTTCCATCTAAGGGAAATGTCCTGGGAAAAGGAAAGTTGTACATTTTATTCACATAATTTGATTTCTTTTACTTGTATTTTATTCCAGCAGCATGTGAACGTCCACACTACGGGCCACCCTTACTTTTGATTTAATTCTGACTTAGTTGGAGTGCACATAGTCACTATGCTCACAAAAAAAAAAAAAAGATCTCGTGGGTATAAATAAAATCAAAAACGGGTACATAAACATACCAGCTGCTTTACTATGAATCCCGTAGTTTAGTTTGAGTCAATCCCACATTCTCTGTCCAGCTGCCCTAAAGACTCAGTACTAAATGTGTCTTACTCCTGAGGTAGAAATAGTCAAATGTATTTTTTTACTTTTACTGTTTCAACAAACAATTAACCAATAGAGAAAATACAATGAATTATGTTTTTAAAAAACATTTTATCTGGTCTTTACTTGAGAGACAATGAGAACAAATATAACACTGTTTGGACATGAATTCTTGTTTTTTTTATTGTTAAATAAATGAAAATAAATGGCAGAGGAAAAACATGAGATTTATTAATCATCACAACACTGACATCATTACAGGTCTCCCTTTTTGTTCATTTGAGTGCAATCAACTCCATTAAATAAAACATGTTAATAAATACAAAACATGTTATTTACAAGCAAAATAACTCAATTCCTCATTTATGTTTTGTGGTTCTATTACAAAAACAAAACAAAAAAACATCTGGTGCAAACACGCTTAATTCAGTGGGAATAACGGTTTTAGATGAACATATTAGAGAAAATGTTAACTCATGGCACCCTGGATGCTGACAAGTCAAGATTCATCAACAGACATAAGAAAAAGTGACATCTGAAATAATGTAATGTTATTCGGTTAGTTGCCGATTATTTACAGAATATTCACCGTCACACCGACTAGAGAAATAAAACACCACAGGTGCAGTATCACTCTTTTTTTTCCCTCGCTCTCAATCCGCAGTTGTAATATTTTTTTTTAGCAGTATTCACATCCTATTTGATCCTTTTCTTTTGTCACAGCTGCGGGGGCTAGTCGAAGTGGCCGGCGGGTCACATGGGCTATTCTCAGTTATGGCTTTAGGTCACTCTCGCAGTGAGTCATCATGCAACGCTGAAGCCGCCTCTGGCCTGCTGAGCGGCCACGCGAGAGGCCGCGCGCTCCCCACCGCGGACGCCACGCCGGCCCGGGAGCCCCGGTGGAAAGGTTCGTCTGCGAATAAACCCGGCGCTCCTTTTGTGGCCGTTTTGACCGCGCTCCCCAAACTGTAAATACTCAGGGTCCGAAAAAAAATAAAAATAAGGACAGATTTAACATCAGACACCACAGCTCATGCTAAAAGAAGCAACCCCGGCGCCCTCCGCCCGCGGCGTGCTGATGCATCGCGGTGACGCACAAACAAATGCAGGAGCTCGCAGACTTGTGTTTTATGCAAAGGCTTTTCTTCTCAAGATTCATTCGGAAATCCCTGCTTCAAGGAGAGCGTCAATCGAGTCCCGAGTGGGAACGCCACGTCTATTCCAGTGTTGGTTTGACTCTTTCAGCAGGAAGCGGGAATTATTTCCATGATATGAATTTAAACATTAACATTATAAAACAAAAAAAACTGCATAATTAAACGTACCGATTCTGTCCCTTCATTTAATAAATACAGGCTAAACAGCCGCCGTCTTTTACACCACATATTTACATTTTTGTTCAAGACACGTTTTAAGTCAGCTGACAACAAATAGGTCAGTTAAACTAACTGCATTTCCCTGCAGGTGTTCCCCCCCGTAGAGAAATCACGAGTCTTTGCATCAAACATGTGTAGGAAGTCACACTGATTTTCAACGCAAACTCTCAGTAAACAACCGGTCAGTGCTTCACGTTTCCAAGTGGAACTTTTTCGACGAAATTAAAAAAAAAGGGAGGATGAATCCAGGTTTGATTCTCTGCTGGAGGAAGACAGGGGCGCCTCTGTTAGTTTTTCCGAAAGCAAATGAAGAGTCTTTAAGAGGTCAGCTTGGAGTAGCTGGGCGGGGAGAAGCGTCTGCGGAGGTACTTGAGGATGTAAAGGGGCAGACAGCTCACCAGCGTGATGACGGTCACCTTCCACAGGAACGACACTGTGGTGATGAAGTACACGTCTGGCAGGGACGGAGGGGGCAAAGATCAGAACGAGGTTGTGGGACATAAACATACATTAATATTAGCATCATTTAGGAGCCGAGGCATATCACCTCCTTCTAATGCGGATTCCCAATGAAACATTAGTGTATAAACACATGAAACCAAGACCTGTTTTCAGTAGCTTAGAATGAGCCCTTTTGACTAGTGTCAAAATGTGAATACTTGCATGTCCGTGTGTTGCACAGACTGTCTATGTTTAGAGTGTGATATGTTGTCTTTTAGTGAACCATGAATGCAGGAGGCAGATAAATGAACCATTACAGTGGCAACCAAAGGTTGGAGCAAAGGGTCCAATTAACTGAGTAAACCGCAGATGCAACAGAGGAACAGCCTTTAAAATCTATTCCAGTCCGACTTCAAGGAGGGAGGAAACGTATCCACAAAGGGTACACTTGACCACATGCCAGTCATGATCCTCAGTGGTCGAGATTGTAGGCTGCGAGTGGAACTCCACCCCACATTATGCTGAAAATAAAGGCTTGGAAAGCTCCTGGTTAGGGTATTGTATATGTCACTACTCTTAATGTGGCACAGCTAAAATCGGCTTATCTTGGCCAGCATGCAGGCTGTCATGGAGCACCTTAAACACCTACAGTCTTCTTGAAGAGTGGTTTCAGCGTCCTGACGGTAATGAATGTGTTTCTATCCAACAGCAGTTAAAGTATCATATTTGTGGCCAGTCGACACCTTCACTGAGATAAACACATGAAGCGTGGCGGCCCACAGGAAAGGAACACGACTGATGGCATTTCCTGTTTGATACAACAACATGACGGAGGTTTGTCCACTTTAGGACAGCGTGTCAATGCACTCACCTTCAGCCTTCCTCACAGCCAGCGTACCACCGCTTATTGCTCACCGGAGGCACTTTATGAACAAACAGGTTGCCCTGACTGCTGACGCACTATTTCAAGGTCGACAACCGCGCAATAACATCCATCAGGCCGCGGTGCATTGAACTCAAGACCGCGTTCTGTGTGTTCTGGGCTCAGAGTCACCTTCCGGCGCGGCCCGCTTGCTCTCGCTCACCTATGAACTCGTGCAGGAAGACGAGTGAGGCGACGTAGCAGGCCAAGCTCAGCAGCTCGCCGACTATCATGAGCCAGTGCCACGTCTGTATGGTCAGCGCCACCATCAGCAGCTCGGTCAGGATGAGAGAGGTGAAGGAAATGGCGACGATGTGGACGAACTCTGAATCGAAGAGCAGCAGCGCCCCGTACATGATGATGCTGCCTGTGGAGTTAAAAGAGAGGGCGCGGCCGGAGAGTGAGACCAACTTCTCGCCAGAATGATCTACACAAAATCTACACAATTATTATTACTTGGCCTATGTCTCCTGATGTGGCTTTCTCACCAGCTGGAGTCTCATTTCTTACCTTGATAGATACTTATTATGACCCATATTAGAAACGTTTTGTAAGAAAGCGGTCGGCCCTGTGGAAAGAAAACAGGATAATATTATATACCCTTCTTCATGTTTCTGCACATCATGTTTACACTCAGTGTGTTATCATTCATCAAATACCTTCAAGAGATCCTTGTATAATTCTGGGTATAACATGGCAACCTCTGACTTAACATCTTTGTCCAGGACCAGGGAGAAGACAGGGAACATTGTGTAGATGGTCGAGTAGCTGAAACAGACAAAATCATGTGCTTTTGGTGTGAGGAATATTCTCCAGATGAAAAACATGCACTCAAAGATTCACACATTTCATTGTGAGATTCAGCAGGGAAACATCCAGCCAAGAATGTCATATTTTCCCCGACTCGCATTTCAACAGTGCTTTAACAAAAAGGAAATGCCAAGAAGACAAAGCAGCCAAATGCTCTCCGGGTAAGTCACGGTCATTCAGAGCTTTTATCTCACCCAATAATCAGGAATCCTTGGTAGAGTGAGACCGAGGCAAAGTAGAAAACAGAGGAGAACACCGCCTAGGGAGACATAAAAGCGTTTTCATATCAATACTCAGGCTAAACAACAGATGAGAAAAAAAAACATTACAGAGAAATAGAAGGAAATTAAAGATACAGCGTAAATCTAGCAAGACGAATCGCAGGGTAACCACACTGACTAGTCGATGAGCTAATCTCAATAATCCTTACTCTACTCAAGTGCTACTCAGAGCCTCCCTGACTAATGTCGGCCTGTCGACCAGTCAGCCCCAAAACAGGCAGGTCCTTGCTGCGGTTGGTGTTAACTGGAGACATGTGGAGGAGGACGAACCCTAGAACCCCAAAGTCCATGAGAAGTGACTCATGGGCGGCCCCTCCACGGCGGGGGCCTGAGGTCGGGCTGGGACGTGGGAACCGGGCAGGGCACGGTGTTGGGTATGTGCGTGGGGGTCAGCTCAGAAGGGCGCCACTGGCTCGACTCACCGGGCACCCCTCCACCCGGGACCATCCTTAAAACCTTTTCCCTGCCTCGCCCCAATCATTTCCTCAGATTTGGATTGTGGGTGATGGTGGATCAGCATGAGCCGTATCTCCCTGGCCAAACACTAAAGGTCTCGGTTTGGTTCCTGTTGGCTCTCACTTCCCCCGAGATCCAAACAGTGTGTGGACTGGGAATGTTTGTAAGAGAGTACAGGGCAGGTTACATCGCCATCGCGTTACCTCATTCAGCGAAAGTAACTGAACAGACAAATAAAATCCCTTGTTCACAAGCTTTGAGATTCAGGTTAGATGATGGGAGTACTGGGAGGGAGGGGGTGGGGGGGAATTGGTAGCAATTTCTTTCTTTAGAACATTTTCAAAATGTTACAATGTCTGTTGCAAAAGTTTAGATGATGAAAAGTACTGATTGATACATCTGAGGTCAGGCTTCCTAACAACCAGCCTTATCGTTGCTATGACAGACAAGTAAACTGAGGAAAATCTCGACCCTGCCATGAATGAACGCATCATGATTTACTGCTTAGTCAGACTCTGGACTTTGTGCTCAATATGTGATGTTTTATCTGATTTGATACAGATTATTTGATTTGAGAGTATTTCATAGTTCAGTTTTGATTGTTTTAAAGAAAAAGTCAAAGCTATTAAAGTGTGCCACTCCGTGTAAGTGGCACCGTGTTTGAGTTGCACTCTACCTGCATGGTGCTGATGCACAGGCTCCTGTGGATGACGAACTGACTGAGGGCTGCAGACCTTTTGTAGCTGTTCCGACCGTGGACCATGAGGAGACGGCCTAAATGTTTGAACTGAGTCACAGAGAAGTCTGCAGCCAGCGAGGCCTGCTTTCCTTCCTGTCAAACACACAGAGGGCAGTGAGATTAGCTACAAGTCGAAGCCGTCCTTATTATGCTTGTTCAGGGACAGATACAGAGCTTGTTTACAAGAAAACACAAAAATCAGACAAACACTCCTTGCAGACATGACCTGCATGGAAATATCCCACCTTTGAATATGCCAAATTCAATTAAAGATTTTTTTTTTTATTCCGCCAAATTCGTGATTTGTTTTTTAATTATGTTTTTTCTAAAATGGCAGAAAACATTTTTTTGTCTGCCAAAGAAATTCAGTTTACTGCCATAAAAATTTGCTAATATTCACATTTGAAAAACAGGCAAGACAATATTTCTGTTCATAATGTAAAATATTCTTAGTCTTATAGTCTTTTTTACAAGGATTTACAAAAACAATACATAAAATGTTAATGAGTTTTACAGATGTTGCTTTGCTTCATGATAAGCTAAGCTAACTGGCTGCTATATTTATGGACACTTATAAGTCTTGTCAGTTTTGTCAACCAACTCTTACAGGAAAAAAAGGAGTAATAATATAATTTGCCATAAAAAAAAAAGGTAAAACATCTCCATCTCATGCTTATGCATGTCAGATTGAGCTACACATGTTGAGAGAGAAGTACAAAACCCGGATGATGAGACTCTTACTTTTTACTTAAGCACAAAGGCATCCTGTCATCTTTGCTTCCTCTACTCAGACAATGGATGCTCGTAAAGAGGAATCATCTGTGTGCATGCCTCTCTCTAAATGTCTCTGAACGTGAGAGATATCTTGACAGGAAACCAAAAGTAAAAATCTGTGAGAGCCACACGTCAATGCGAGGCGATGAGATGGAGAGAGAGTCTTACTTTTCCCTCCACTCCCACGCCACAGTCGGCTTCCTGGATCATGCTGACATCGTTTCCTCCATCCCCTAAGAGAGAACAAAAGCCATGGAGGCGTGGCGACTCGAATCAGTGACCGACCGATACAAACTTTCAGTGGGAGGGTTGTGTATCTACTAGTGTGATATAACGAAATATTGATACAAAAATATTGTTCTGATGTCGCAAAACACAGTAAAAACACAATTAAACAATAAATATTGTTTATGGATTGAATATGGATTTTTATTTCATGTTTTTTTCTATAATGTCATAACTTGGAATAGGATTCTATTCAAAGGCAATAATATAAATTATTGCCCACCCTTCATCAAGTTTCATCAAGTGAAAGATATTACCATTAGATCATACTCAGATCAGCTCTGCTTTATTGAGGCATTTTATCAGTGTTACTGGGAGCTCTGGTGAGATGTGAAGAAGTGGATAGAATTTGTTGAACGTTATAAACGTACTAACAAAAGTATATCTGCACCGACTGAATCTCACCTCGAAAAAGCGGTTGGATAGTTTCTATTTTTGACTCACCTACAGCGCAGGTGAGCTTTCCTGTGCGCTCTTGCAGCAGTCGGACTATCTGGGCCTTCTGAGTGGGGGTGCATCGGCAGCAAACCACAGCCGGACACTGACATGCGAGCTCCATGAATTCATACTCGTAGTACTTCAGACAAACCTGCAGGAAACCAAGTGGACGTGTAAGAAAACGTCGGCCACCGGATGGAACCGATAGCCGCTGGGAATCTCCAATACCCCATCGTTGAGCTGCAGTTTAACTCCTACCGCGCTAAAGAAAGTGACTAACCACAGATACCACTTCCAGAGAAGAAGCCGTCGCAGCAATATTATCACGCGTCAGACAGAAAGTATGTCAGAGCCTCATACGGGCTATCTCCCCGTATGAGGCTCTAACATACTTTCTGTCTTTCAGCGGGAGGAGAGCTAGACACGCACAGATGAACTTTGGTTTACCTCAAGCGAGTCTCCTGATATCACCAGGGCGCAGTCGTGCTTTCTCCTAAAAGCGTTGAGCTCCAGGTGGGCTTCCCCTCGCGTTGTCACCTGTGGCAATGGCAACCGTATTTGAAAAAGCAAGCATTAAAAAGCACACTCGACATAAGAAGTTATCAAGGATGACGATCTGTTCCCCTACGCATCCTGATGGTTATCAGAGATGCAGCCTCAACGAATAACAGCTCGCACCGAGCTGCAGCGATGGCAAATGTTAGAACCTGCCAAACGTTCAGTTCACTAAATAACCAACTGGGATATGAAAGGACATGGTATCTCCCATCCGCATAACAGTATCGAGTGCATAGAACTCATCGAGGTCGGATCAGCGAGTGATGTGGGAAACGCACCCAAGCATTTCCATCAAAACTGCAGTCACACTACACAAGTATTCTTAGATCTGTGTACAAATAGATTTTTGTGTGTTATATATACGTGCAGTGTTCTAGTGTAACGCTTAGCAGAGCATTTAGGTATGAAAATCTAAGTAGGAATAGGAAATTCGGTGGAAGTGGAAGAATGTACAACATTCAATTTCACAGTTCAAATATAGACTCAAGAAATCCCCAGAAATGCAGCACTGACAGGACACGACGTTCATCCATCAGCAAGAGTCATGCTCTGGTGCGAATATCCTTCGGCCGCCGACTCTTCATACGTCAATCCAGATCAGGCCATCGGTGGCCACCAGGAAACTAATCCAGATGTATGTGCCGCAGGCCCAGTCAGCACTCCCCCGTCCACCGGGACAGAGGTTTTCAAGCCGTGCCAGCCATTGTTATCCTCTCCCAGCGACCGCAGTTGTACGCAAATTGTAACCTTCCCATATGGCAGGCGCTCCTTCTGCTCTGGCGCGGCTCCAGAGGGGAAGGCAGAAGGGGGACTATCAAAGCGGCAAAAAGAGCCCGAAACCTGCAAAACAAATTAGGAAGTGAGCCCTCTGCCGCGTGTTCCCTCTGGGAGTGGTTCAGCTGGGGTTTTTTTTTTTTTTTTCTCCTTTCTGTTCGAGCGAAGGCCTGTTTGTTCTCATTGACAGCGGCTTGGATGCTCTCGCTGGTGGGAAGTGATTTATTCAGCCGTGTGGATGCTGACCCGGGCTGCATGCGTAGAAGTGCGGGGGCTGTACGACCACCAGCCCACAGGCCTCGGTCACAGAGGATGGACGCCCGTGGGTCCAGGCGGGTCAGGAAACTCTCAGTGCTGCATTGAACTGGGAATGACCCTGTGGTACTAAACACACACTAAGGGAAGAGAGGTCCTTGTGCTGCACTCACGGATCTGAAGATATGGATGTCCTGGTTGCGGGTGATCAGATGGGCGTTCTTCGCAGTGCAGGTCGCCGTCTCAAGCTTGTCGCCTGTTAGCATCCAAACCTACACACAAAGTAATCATTCGGGAAATTCAGAAGATGTACTGGTGATGGAAGAGAATTTCCAGTCAAACGAGTTACTATGTGACGATAAAATGTTTCCATGATGGGTCAGTAAAATCCAGGGACCAAAGACTCTAATCACTGACTTCAAGCGACTTGTAAGTGCTCTGCCTGCGACCTCAGGTTTGTTAACTTATCTTACAATCAAACATGGTGCACTTCATCGTCGTGCTCGTGCTTCCAACAGACGGCAGACACCTGTAATCATACAGATTGGTATCACAGTATCCAAATACTGTCTCGGGTTGATTCTTAATGTTGCTTACGGCACGGTTAGACCCAGAAAAGGGCGTTACCACTCTACATAGTTGTTTCTCTTTAAACGTTTTCACTCGCAAACATGTGAGGTATTTATTGCCAAAAATGTAAGGAAACCTTTGACCACCAGATTCTAATCACTCACCAATTTAAAAGACATTCCCCTCAAAAGTTTTTTTTTAAACAGCTAGTTTATGATATGAGCAACTGAAATAATGATATGAGCAACTGAAATCCTATTCATCAGAGACATTTAACCGATCTGCACTGCTAGACACTACTGGAGCCGAGAGAGTGAATGTGTTTTTACACATTTGAGGTGAGCCAGCCCTTTAGCCTCTGGCTAAATAATGACAATAACAACCCTGTACTGCTGGGATGTTGCTGCTCTTCCTCTTCTCCTTTTACAAATTATTATTATTGCACTGTCTCTTCTTGAAGGTTATTCTTTTGTTTTAGTTTAGTTTAATTAAATTAAACTTAATAATTTAATATTTCTTATCTTATTATATTGTATATAATGTGTATCTTTTAATTCTATTTTCTTCCCTGTACATGCTGCTGTGACACCAAAATTTCCCTCTTGAGGGATCAATAAAGTATCAATCTATATCTATCTATCTAAATTGAGAAGGGCAAAGGGGACAGAAGCCCAACTTTAACTTCTGCGACTGATCAGCTTTCTGCTTCCCTCGCAACAGACCAAGTTATCATTTCTATGTTACAAAGTTGGTGAAATATTTCACATCAACCATCCCAAACCCTTTAAAAAGAACAATTCATTCAAATTCACGATAATCTCTGTTTCCTACTAAAAGGAGGGACTCGGTTGAGGCCTATTCTTCAGGGTAGATGTGAAAAACACATGTTCTTTTCTCCAGGTTTGTGTTTTTTGAGTTTGTTGCTACTCTGAGCTGAATGTCTGTCTGCCCCCCCGCCTCGCCCCAGACCTTGATTCCTGCGTTACGGAGGATCTCCAGGGTGGGCCTGACATCAGTCTGGAGCTGGTCCTCCACCCCGGTCAGACAAAGCAGCTCCATCTCCATCTCCAGACTCTCAATCACTGTGGCCACCTTCAGCGAGCGGTCATGGACGCTGAGCTTGGCCTGGACGTAACGTGCCTGGGGGGCAGAAGAGGTATGGAATATTGTCAGTGGGAGGGGATGAAAATAGTTGAAAGAAAGTGGAATCACTGTAACACCAAAATAATGAAACCAGCAAGGACTAAACATGAAAAAATGAATATATACACAAGGAAAACATGATGCAAAATAGAGATGTTTCAGCGATGTTTTCATACAGTGTGCATACATACGCCCCCCACTCCCTCCCCCTCGAGCATGAATTAATGCCTCCAACGCACACAGAAAAATCCGTAACAGATATCAAAGTTTGACTTTACATACACGCTTTCAGGTATTTGCCTGCAAGCAGCCGTTAAAGCTCCTCTGTTTTAGAAAGCTTGAAATAGCAGACAGAGCAGACATGATCAATCGGTTAACGCCCACCTCCCGCTTTTCAGCTCCAGGCCAATTAGGGAGTGAGATAAAGCAAAAACAATCTGAGAATGACTCATAAAAGGAACATAAACTCCCTGTGTGTGTGTGTGTGTGTGTGTGTGTGTGTGTGTGTGTGTGTGTGTGTGTGTGTGTGTGTGTGTGTGTGTGTGTGTGTAACTCATTTGGTGACTCACTGCTGCCCAGCAGCTCTGCTCACACAACTATACACTTCAGAAATGGGCCTGGGGGTGAGGACTGCAGGGGAGACAGCCCTGCCCTGCTCAAACAATGAGTGGGGTGTGTGTGTGTGTGTGTGTGTGTGTGGCAGGGCAGGGTGTGTGGACCAGAGGGACGTGCGGGGGAGGTGGGGTCAGAGGTCACGCCAATTACCCAGCAACACACTTTGACATTATAAATACTCATTTCAAATACATTTCTGTATATGAACCGTTCTGAATGTGTGTATTTTGAGCAATCAAATTCAAATTTTTGTGATTCACGTGGCTTCAATACTTATGAGGGAGACAAACTTCTCCAACTATTCCTAGATGTCTTGATATAGTGTAAATCGCCGTTAATTACCTCAAAGTCTTGATACTGCTCCTCTGTGAGAGACTTCTTTGAGACGACAAGGACCCTCAGGCCTTCCCTCGCCATGTTCCCACACTAGAAAACATTCAGCGGGTGAGTCTCTCAGTTATTTATCACGGGGGGTAAAATCACCGCCGCTACACCTTCATCGTGTCAGGTGAAAAAGAAGATCTACCTCCTCTTCCAGCCAGTCGTTGTACTGGACGATGCCTGCCATCACCACATCAGCTCCCTTCATGTAGAACGTAATCTCTCCAGTAGACTCGTCCTTGAAAACAATAAATGGGCAGTTTATTCAGATTAAAACAGGAAAGAAAAGCGGTTACATCTTACACCACCCAGTTCACAGGATTTCCAGTTCAAAGGTGAACACGTACCATTTTGTGACTGTGGTGCCTAGAAAAACGTGGACTTATTTTGGTACTCTCATGGGTTCCCAAAGCAATTGAAAATATTACCATGAGGAAGTTTAAAGATCCCAGGCTTCCTGTGTTCTCGACAGGCCAACAAAAATAAAGTTAAGTCATCAGACAGTCAGAGGTTACAAGGTGAGGCTTTTCACAGATAATGTGGTTTGATATCAATCTGTTTGTCTTGTTGAGGCTGGTTTTTAAGTCCAAACCGCCCTCCTAGCAGCAAAAAGCACCGAGCTACATCCTTTACGAAGACAAAAGTATTTCAGCAATCGCACAAGCTGGGAAATCCAACCAATTTCTTCGGACAGCACAGAACAAAGTGAACTACAGCTCCTGAAATTCAAACGACAGAAGAGTAACATGATTAGCTTGGCACTCACTCGCACTATAATGCCCATCCTCTTGCTCTCATAGGTGAAGGGAAATATCTGCAGGATGGTGAAGTTCAGTATTTGGCCAGTAGGGGTCCGCAGCTGCATGGAGGACTGGTCTCTTCCCACCAGTGTCAGACCAACGCTCTCAGTCCACTGCACCAGCGACACCTATTAACATCACATTGTAAAGGCTTTAATGGACGGTCATTCCAATATGTAAGGGAGCAATATTTATATAACTGCTTACGCTTTATGTCTTTACTAAATAATAATCATCACCGCCATTGTTGAGGTACAGCAAGGGAGAGAAAAGGGAGAGAAAAGGGACACCAGCTTGGGGGTTTTATTGTATTTGTGGTGAAGCCATTATGTCAATACGATGTTCCAGTGAAGGGCACTTTGGACTGACTAGAATGCCAGAGAGCACAGTGACCATTATTCTTAATCAATATCTCAAAAAGGTTTTTTCTGCACTCAAGACTAACGATTGATAAATTAGCGAAATGTCCATTTATGAACGGATAATATATACTTTTTGCTCCGTTCTGAAGGACACGACAAACAGATGGCATCCATTAATACAATGTCAACGTGCGTGCGGGGAGAGAGAGAGAGAGAGAGAGAGAAAACCAATAACTTCCAGACCAGAAGTCAAATCACATTCATCATTCATCTTCTGACAGGACTAATGGCAGACGGGCCAAATGGACGCAGATGACAGAAAACAACAAAGATTCCCACAAATCCAATTTTGAAACCACCCAGTTTTGAAGCGGAGAAATTACTTATTTTCAGAAATCCGTGACCACGTAAGCTGAAAAGCTCTGCTTGGTGTAATGTTTCATATCCAGGTTTGGAAAATATGAAGATTCTGCTTAATCACAGTCTAGAAAGCTTCGCTGTGGGAACTTTCTAGGACGCTGCGTCTGCCGCACAGCACCACCTTGTAAAAGCAGCAACTGGACTGAATAATGCTAAATCTACTTCACGCAATCTCCACACGGCTGATACGTTTGTATAAAGCTTAGGGGGAAAAGTGCGTAATAAAACGCTTTGACTGCATTGGTAAAAACCAAGCATTCAACAGTGTATTGTGCCCAAAGTGCTCACAGACAAAACCTAAAATCTATATTAAGAATTCCTGAAAGCTACAAGGAAAACAAACAGAATCTTGCTTTGCTACAATAAAACGGCTGCATTTCCTCCCCACGACATAAACCACAGGTCTCTAATCCCAACAGATGTACGTGGCTCGATTAAAGTATGTTATCAGAGGAAACCTAAATGGGGATAAGTGCAATGGGCTGGGGAGCGCATTAAGGAAATCCGTATTTACACCGCAGGAAATTGATCGAAGTCAAATTCCGCGGCCCTCTTCCTGATGTTCAAAGAATTCATTCAGATGAAGGACATAAATGTTGAATGCCTTCATGCTTGCGAATGTTTCCCCTTCATGTGGAAAAGCCGGGGAGACCCCCACGATAATGCCCTTTACTGATATCAACCAAGAACGCTCCGTCTCGAGTTCGGGTGTGTTATCCTGTCGGGCCTTCCGTGTTTGTCCTTGAGAAAACAATGTTAAAGCAGATTAAGTGGACACTTCCTAACATGTCATGTTGAGGTATATCAGCGTGTAGGTACGTGCCTGTGTGTCTTCACGTATGCCGTTGAATGGATGTACTGCTGCTGTTTGTACAATAAATGTGGTAAACGAGCAAGTCAACAAAAAACAAAAGAAATGCACCGTTTTTGTAAATGATTTGTATTTTACTTCACTCCTTTTTAATATGTATTTTAAGATTTGTATTGCTCCATTTATCATTTTGTAAAGTAAAGGTTCTACGAGCATATCGGTAAATATAGTCGGTACTATTAGATTTTTTCCTATCAGCCATGTGGGTTTCAGAAAAACTAAAACTGACACGAGTACCACTAAACCTGGAGGAACAGTACAGGGCTGGGTGTGGCAGGCCGTCGTACCTCATCTGGGCTGGAGGCCTGGTAGACTCTGCACGTGTCTTCATAATGCTGCTCCGCCTCGGCCTGGTCCGTCACACCGTTGGCCTCGTACACGGGCGTCACGTTGTGCACCAGGGCGATGGCCTTCACAGCCTCGTGAACTCGGCTGATGATCGTCTTGCGCACCTTGGTGGCTGCTGGAGCCCTGGAGGCTGGAAGGTCATGGGCGGGCTGAAGAAAATTACACGAGGGACTGTGATGAAAACAATGGGATACGGGAACATGGCAAGAGTTTTGACCGTCCTTTCGTTGAGGTCACGGTCAAGAGGTCGGCAAATGTAGGCAGTAGAACCGTCAAGAGACAAAAAAGGCTCCGTACACATGTAGATTCCTATTTACAACATACAAAAAGACACATCCAAGAGTTCATACTAAAATAATGATAACTAACTAAGTTTTGATCGTAGAAACCAGCTCCTTCACTAACGGCAGTTAGTCAGTAATTGCCATAATATTGGGCTGTAAACATGTCCAGACGTGTGAAGCAAATATGAACAATTTGCTTTCGCATTGTGGCGCTGCTATTTTTAGAAGCCTATTCCCTCCAGGGGTTAATGGCAGCGTCGTTTAAGAAGTCCGGTCATTGCTTTGCTTGTGGGCTAATCCTGTTTCCTGCTTCACTAACCCCTGGTGTCAAGGGGGACAAAGAGTGTCATCTGAGGTCAGGAAGCATTAAGCCAAACAAAAATCACAAACCCTTATTTTTCTTAAAACAATACTCATGGCCTGCGGTGTTTTTCTCTTTGCCAAGATTTAGGAATTTAAAACTAGACTGTCAATGTATTAAGTGGATTTCAGTCACTGCTTCTTCTTTTTTCTCTTTTACCTGCGTGTAAGCGCTGAATACAAGGCTCTGTACTTCATCCATCGAGTCCATCCCATATGCCACAGTTCCAAGATGGAGGCGCCTGAACACCATTTCATTTTGAGTAAGAGTTCCTGGTGAAGACATTCAAACAATGGAACTCATTACTAAACCATTACAGCTGACAGAGTTTGAGCTTCTTGTGCAACTTGTGATCCTTGTGCATGACGAATAACAGATAAAAAGTGTTTCAGATTTGAGTTTCAAAATTGATGTAATTTTAAAAAACATCACAGGCATCAATATCTATACAAAAGCTTTTATTGGTTTGGATCTACACACAATATTCATTTGCTTAAAAGAGTCTGCATGCCACATATGGTGATTGTAAAGAAGCCAGCAGCCTTCACTTCAACACTACACACAGCCTCTGTATCCTCACACTCACTTTAAAAGCATTTTCCGCTAGTATATCAAAAAGACCTCAGGGGTCTTGCTCCTACATTGGCCTGAACTGCAGACCCCACCGGGCTTATCACACTCTGGATGGGGAAAAGACTGATCAGTTTATTGGGCATGGGGGCAATAAATCCGGCGTGTAACACCTCGTGCCTGAGGAAGTGCACTGGTGGAGGTGTTGTGCTCTTAAGATGTGTATGGATGAGAGACTCTGGGGCTTTCTTTTTATGATTTAATGGTCCAATAAGTAGCAGGTCTCCGGGAGCAGAAACCCCACCACAGAGAAAAGGACCCCCGAGGGAAGGAAACGACTTAACTCTGTCCTACTGGATACTTCCTTGGCAGATCCACAGCCCTATAACTATATAACTACAGCCCTCGTCTCAGTACTTCACACCCTGGCCTCAGTGATTCTTTTGACCACAAACAGATATTTAAATACAAAGTATGTTGCTTTTCACTGCCACTTTTCTTGCAATCTAACCTGTTTTGTCAGTCAGCAGGTAGGAGATGCGTCCCAGCTGCTCTGGTATGGTGCTTGACCTCACCATCGTCCCAGGGATCTTGGAGTCCCTCTTAATCATCCAACTGAAAACCATCTTTCCCATGTCCAGATTGACACGCAAACTGCATCAAATTAAGAAAAAAAAAGAAAAGAGTACACGATTTGGCACCTAACGTGTCATTGAAAACCAACACGGCAGATGACTTTGAAGAAGAGAAGCTTAAGTCGCACCTTATCGGCACGATGTTAGAGAAGAGCAGCAGGAAGCGCAAGATCTGGAGGTACCAACGGCCAACGAAGTGCTGCAGGGCCACCATAACCAGCGACACCACGACGAGAGCCCCAAACAGGATCTTAGTCAAACAGTTCACTTCCAAGTCAAACAGACCCACCTATCACGAGCAAGAGAGGCAGGAATTATGAGTCAAACAAATGTGTATATGTGTGTGTGTTTGCAACATTAAATAATTATGGCGGAACATGTAAGAATCCTCCATCTTTGAGGCTCTGCTTCACACTACTGTACCTTGTGTCTTGGGTTGGAGGTGTTCATGACACTGCGCAGCTCCTTGCCTGTGTAAATCACAACCCCCACCACTGTGCCTGGAGAGAGGGAGAGAAGGAAAAAAAAAAAGAAACCTTAAAAAAAAAAAAGCCATGGGTCAATGTAAAAAAAAAAAAAAAAAGGAACAACATGAAACACGCAGTATGACAAGGAGAAGGTTCCCAGACTCATAATCTGGACAAGAAAACTTTTTCAAATGATCAATGACATTTGAATTTGAATATAGGATGTGGATTTTTATCAGCTTAATGGAAAACATATGTCAGCGTGGGTTAAAGCCTCTTGTGGAAGAAGCACACTTTCTTTACCATTGTGGGTAACTGCCCCACAGCTACTTAAAAACAACATCCTCATGATTTCCTCCGTGTGTGTTTGGCTAGGAAAGTCAACAGATCAACAACAACAATTTACCGGAGGCCACAACGGTGCTGGCCCACAGGGTGTTCTCAATGCTGAGACTCTCGTTGACTGGGGGGTCTCCGTCCTCCTGTTACAAACAAGACGACACATGTTAACATGGAGAGGAAAACTGCCCAAATAATTGTTGTTTGTTAAATAAATTGTGTCAACAACAAGGCCGTTGAAACACAATAGTAATAAAAGGCACTCACCCGGGTGAAAGTTCCAATAAAGTTATGGATATCAATGTTTGGCTCTTCTGCGTACACATATGATCTGATTTGTAGAAGATCCTGTGGGATATCAAAAACATAGTTTAGGATCACCGATGGGAAATAACTAACTGAAAATTGACATTCGGATAAGAAGAAAACCAGCAAAGCTTTGGCTTATATGCTTATGAAACATTATGTAACTAATCCGTAACAGTTAACGCAGTGTTTGCGCTATGGTTTTCTACCCCATATTAAGACAGTTTGACACTGTTTTACAAACCAGTCTGACCTGACGCATGTTTTCTCTCCAAAAAGAAAAAAATATATATATAATGTCACCAGGAACTGAGAGACCACAGGCAGGGAAATAGCATGTTACCGGTGGCACAGGTGGAGGTTGTTTTTTGGGGGGTTTTATAATGTTTTTTCATTCTTAAGTTTCCAAGAGAAGCATTTTACTGTAAATCAAATGAAAGCAATGCTGTAAAATTTAGGTTGAAAACATGAATCACTAAATAAATAAACTAATCTTAACTTTTAGAATATTCAATTACACATCATACTGAAAATCGTTAAAACTTACTAGTTTACTGACTATTTGAAACCTAATAAAAAGGTTGTGCGAGTATTTTACATTACAGGTCATTTAGCTGACGCTTTTATCCAAAGCGACTTCCACTGCATTTTAACCTGTTAACTATTTGCCTGAAGAACTACAAGAGCCAAAGATATGGGCCTGGGGTTAACCTTTGACCTTTGAGTCATTCTCTGATGTCCTGGCCACCCTGTACTCTGGTCAAATGACTACTCCGTCCTAATGACTCACTTCTCTGGGACCCCAGTCGGGCCTTTGCAATTATCTGTGTTCCTCAGTTCTTACCAGGCTCAGTGACGACATAAACACAGCGCTGCAACGTACACTTTTCTCCTGGCTACCGCTTCATCTTTATTTTATGACTCACGGCAGCAGTCGGCAGCCTCTGAGTGCACGCCACTGGGAGGCGTAGTTTCCAGTCCGTCTCTCCATCCAGCTGGTCGGTGCGCAGGAAACAGGAGCCTGCGGGAGGGGAGGAGGGGGGAGACAAGAGCTGCCAATGATGCTACACGGAAACATTCACCCCTAGGGGGCAACAATAGATTGGCTTTGATTTTGTACATCAACAACCTAGAATTGCTTGAACAGACCAAGACGTTTATGTTTCAATGGGTAACCAAGACTAACACCTCGGTTGCTGTTCTGGGGTTTTATTCTAATAGATGTTATTCTACACATTTCTAAGTCGCTGTTTTGATTGAATACTTTACAAAGAGCAATCAAACTCTTTGGCATGGAGTCACAAATGCATTGCAGGGGCTTCTTTGAACGGGACTAGGCTGCATTTACTGTTGGGGTGGAAGTGAAGGCATTCACCAAACAACGCCCTTCCCCCCACGGGCTGCATGCGTCATCCTGCCCAAAACGACAAATCCTGGCCTATAGGCTCCTCATAATTGACCTAATGGCCTCCACATGGAAGAGAGATAACCAAGCACTATTTCCAGTACAACAGAGCTGTTGTTTTTTTCTTTCAACAGGAAGACGCAACCACAACAAAAACTAGATGCAACTAGTTTCATTGATGGGAGTCACATTTGGGTTTCTGGGAGCAGATAATAAATCCCCTCAGCCCTGTGATGTGGCGGTTAATGTGCTGTGCCTTCGAGGTTGTTATTTTGAATTGGATTTTGTATATGTGCAAATAAACAGGGCGATGCATTTGGCCAAGTTATCGCTGACGAATCTTGTCTTAAATCCATATTTGATTATTCAGATGAGGCATCCTCAACTCGCGTCTCCTGCTTTCTCTTTGCATTTGATTTTGGTGAGTCCTTGTATTTTCCTTTTCATTATGTTCTAATTTGAAAGACAAAATAAGAGTGAACAATGTTTTGTCTACAATGCCCATCTCACCATTACATGGGAGTAGTAACTCTCCACAGCACCATGCTTTGAGTGATAGTTTAGTACTGGACCTAATTACAATTTAGACGTTGTAGGACTTCCTGTCCTGGCTGAGGGCTAATACCTGCACCTCAGCGCCTTTAAAAAAAAAAAAAAAAAGTAATTTCCCCAGCCAGCCTGCCTGTTGTGGAGATCTGGATGAATGACCAGCAGATGTTTACCATTTCTTTCAGAGGTCCTTAAAAAGATCATGTCAGCAGGAACACGCTGGTTCTACAAAGAAAAGCAGAAAGAAAAACATCACTTTAACATCGCTTCCTGAGCCTGCACTCTGCCTCCTCCCTCGTCTGCTCTTTAAATGTAGAGGAGTTGGACTTTGGGCTTTTCATGTGCCACATTACCAACAGCCAGTCAGTCAAAACAATAAGCCCTCCAGCAAATCATCCAGTCGTGGCCTGAACAGGACCCTGACCAGGTTTTACACTCTGCCTGACCTGGCCCCTCATCTACACTAGACAAACTCTCAATTCAATTCATCCGGACAGCTTCCCGGAAAAGCGAACCGTGCATGGATTGTCGCTAAGTAGCCGACGGTCTAACAAAGACGCATTGAGCCTTTAATGGCGGTTAATTTAGAAATTCTGAAGCTTTCCTTTTGTCAGCTCCCGGGTTTCGCCACCGCTGACAAGTTTCTCAATTTTAAATCACATAACTCTAAATCACTCAGTCATATTAGTGGAACTTGTGGGACAACATGTGTGACCTTTCCTTCAGCTGCTTTGAAATGAGTGATTCAGAAGGAAGCCCTTAGTTGGAAACTGAAGACAGGGCCCACCTCTCGTGTTTCATGTACAAAGACCTCAGAGAATCCTCTGTGTCCACGAGAAGCGCGTTGCCAGAAAACTCAAACTAACACATGCTGTACAACTAATTGCGATTTCAAGATGAAAAAACAAATTCCTCAATAAATAGGCTTATTAAATTTGCTCTAATTAAAAAGGTATATTAGGCTCAGGTACACTGTGCATGAATCGGGTCTGACAGGCCGAGGCTCAGCATCGATCACAAGATTATAAAATCTTTACTAACTCCTTTTTACCTCAGTCACCAGTGGCGCAGAGAAGATTAACGTCCCCCTCATTATTTTCTGCGATATAAGTGCTAACTTAGCAAAACTAGTCACAGATGTGGATGAACCAATTAACAAACCTTTTCCACAATTATAAGATCTCCAACTTGAATACCGCTGCTTTTCACCTTCACTGTCCCTGAAAAACACAGAACAAAATCTGAAGTTAATTCAGAGTTCAGTTTTACTTTGTGTTAGATTAGTCAGCTAATATTTATTGAATTCATCAAATAATACACAATGTACATCATCTAAGTACTATAACAGACCAAGTTTATCTCATTTCTCCTTTGAATGAGCTGTTGCTCTGCAGACCTCACCAGTCACCTTAGTGAATTTGGGAAAGTAATTTTCCTTGCACATTTGAAAGAATGCTGGGGGAGTTGAGCCTTTTCGCTCATTCCCTTTGGAACAAACAGGCAAAATTGTTTGGGAGAGATCGCTGACCCTTGACCCCTGCTGTGACCTCAGGGCTTTACATATGCAAGACATTAAAGCGCATTAATATTGGTGCGCACTAGGCTTCAACAGACTTTGCATTAGTGCACTTAACCTTTGAAGGATTATAAAGTAGTATACAACATGTAACATCATTAAGAAAGAACAAAAGCAACGTAATCTGGAATAAAGATTAGGCTTTCATGAATGTAAGAAAGTGATTCTATGTGAAGATCTCATGTACGTTTGTTGCATGTTATCAGAGCTTCATTTGTTTGACTGATTCATCAATTAATTAGGAGACCAGCCTGCAACTATTTTAATAATAAGTTCATCACTTTTGACTTATCCAAAGAAATAAATTAACATTCATCTTTTTCCAGCTTCTTTTAAATGAAGATTTATTGCAATGAAAATGTGGGTTTCGCACAATTAAATGAACATGGATGACTGCGATGCTAGCTTTAAAATGTGTGCTACGCTAATAGAAAACTTACAGTATTAATACTTAACAGTATTAATTCAAGCACTTCTCAAACATACAGCTGGCCGCACAATATTTGGGATTCACTTTTGGGAGTTTTGGCACCATTTTATATGCTTCTATTAGATGCACTGTGAACGGTTGAATTTAATGCAAAGACTTTACCATCGAAATGATAGATTAATAAACAAAATATCTTCAACCAATTTCTTACTTTGTAAGAAAACAACATGTTCTGACACCGTAAAGTTTCTAAAAAGCGCAGCAAGACATGCACGGGGGCCGCTATCATGGAGGCAACCAGTCATTGTGTTTATGGTTAAAACAAGCTGCCACATCAAAGGGGAGAAGTGATGGAAACCACAAGAGGTCTCCTGCTTTTTATTGCAGGTAGCACTTTATACCAAGGCCTCTTATGTACACTTTTACATCTCTGCTTTGAATTACCCACTATTTCCCCTAGCCCTAATAAGTTTTAATAGGACCAACTTCCTACGGTTAATACATGCTGATGCTGAGAAATAAGCACTGTAGTTCAGATATCTTCACAACCGAAACATGAGCAGCGTTGTTTCTCAAAGCCTACGATCCTTACCTCTTGTTGAAAGCTTGCTGTAAATCTGAGAGTTCATCTCTTTGTCTCGAATGTAGCATCTTATTTCTTCAACCGCCTCTCTCATGATGGTGATAGCCAAAACAAGACCCTGGAGTGAAATGTCAAAATCTTAAAAACACTTTCTTTAAAAGTAGAGAACCACAACAAATAAAAAAAAACTCTTTACCTTTGGCAACAGTGTTTGTGGGAAATACCAGAATAAAGACAATTTACCAAAATAATCAACAGTGAAATTCCACATACCAGCGGGACCCAGTAGGTGTAGAGTGCACCTAACCGGAGCTCCTTGATGAACTGAGAGCAGGCCAAAAGCAAAAAGTATAAGTTGAAGAAGTACTTGAACTGATTGAACAGCACCTGTGAACATAAAGCAAAAGAGCAGAGTCAAATATTTGCGGCGTGGAAAGTTATTGTGCATACAAGTGTATCTGACAGGTACCGAGAGGCTCAGCTGGACCCTGGAGGCAGCTAGTTGGGACCATTGTCTCTCAGAAGCGTAAACATAAACAGTTCTGTTGTTTGTCATTACCCAGCATGTTGATTATGTGGTAAACTGAAGCCATGGTCATTTTAATAACACGTTTATTTATATACAGTAGGTTAAACTTTTACAGCACAGTAGGCTTTAGCCTCGTTTTAAGTAAAAGACCGTGGACTTTACGAAATGGAAAACCTTTTTAATTCAAAGAAATCCCCATGCCCCTATAAACAACAAAAAAAAAAGGAAATAATATCCAAATACATTTAGTAGCTTCCCTCCTGTCGCGTCATTTTGAAAATAAACACTCATGCTTTAACTTTGCTCTATTTCATTACCACCCGTGTGCGAGATTACTAGCAGCTTGCTACTGTACATAATTTCCCAAGCTCTTGCCAAGTGGAAAGTAGAGAACAGAAAACCAAGTATGAATAGAAACGTACACACTTCAATATGTTGCAAGAGAGAAGAACTTCTTCGCATGATCCAAAGTAAATAAATAGCATCCCAATTTGCAATGCAAAAAGCCTCGGCTCTTGTCTTCGGCTCTCCAAACAAATTTGAGCTACTTTCAATGCCTGACTTCATACATCAAAAAAGTCATAAGATCTTAAGACAACTAATCTCTGGAAAAACAAATGCACATGTAAAGCAGTCCGGGGAAAACAAAGATCAGCAGCTGTGGCTAATTCAAGAATTTACTAACCAGTGTCACATCTGCCCCTTCCATATTCTTCTAAGAATGTAAATGCTGTTTGGTAGCATGCAACCATGTTGCTGACTCTTATTTGAAATACGACGTATCATCCTACTCTTATAGGTACATTCTTATTACAAACCATTACCCCTGGTATTAGTCATATGCTCATATATGTAGTCGATTGGAATTTTGATAATTGATTCATTTTTTCAGTCTCTTTTCAAGCCAACAATACAAACATCTGCTGGCGGCACCCTGACACTTATATTGGAGAATTTCTGATTGCACACTGAATATCTTTAGGTTTCTAACAGTCGGTCAGAAACATAAGTGATTCATTTCATATGAGGCAAACATGACAATTACCACCCACTGCTGCTGGTTCTCTAGGTGATCCAAGAACTAGATTCCTCGGATTAGGATTGGCGTAATTGGAAAATTTGTCTGACAATTGACAGTGAATCAGAGCCCGGCTGAGAGAGGTGGGTGGTGGTTTCGGGGGTCAAAGGGTAGGGTGACCTTTGACTGACACTAACCGCAGGCAGGAAGGTGAAGAAGTTGTACTTCTGGTTGTTGATGACATTCCTCGGGTACCTCTGCTCCCTTTTTTCCGGGTGGCCGAGCCAGACGGTGCGGGGACGGAAGTCGCCCATGCCACAGCATCTCGACCACGGGCAGCACCTGAGAGGAAGAGATTGACATATCCCAGGTTCAATACCACCATCACGTTCATGCAGAGGAACAGACAGGCAACCAAATAATTCAGATTCATGCCGATTCTGTAGTTTATCTCGTAACCCTGTGTTGTGTCGTGTGAAGCGGCCCAGGTTAATGGATTTCCTGTCACGGCTCTTTGTTAATGGGTTGCTTATTACAGCTTCAAACCCACAAAACCGACAACGCTGAGCTTCATGTTCGTGATCATGAAGCCTGGAGTCTTCCCTCCAAGATAAATATTAACTTAATTTGATTAAAAGGGTTGCCACTCCCTTTGCTTTTCCCAAACAAAGCTTTCCACATCAATGAACTAGAGCAAAGTGACCTTAGTGATTAATAACTGGACTACTTTCCAAGTAAAGAAATAGAAGTGTGGCAAAAACCAAGCATCCATTTAATGGGCAAAATGTTTACTTTCAAAGTAGTGGCATTGAGAACTTGGGTTAGGGTATTGTTTGTTTATATATGGATGCATTGGACACTACAGTCTTGGTACATTCAATTTGCAGTTGATTAGCTACATCTAGATAAGGCCAAAATAAATGCTTTTAAAACAACAGTAATAAGTCCTACCCACATGATGGTTATAATGATCTGTGTTGGTTGAAACTGATTTCTAAAAAACGGTGTTGCACTGTCTTGTGGTCCATTGTCTCATTGTTGTCCGATGTATTGCACCAACCGCCATGTCAAATTCTTTGTATGTATCACATACTTTAGAAATAAATGTTCCTGGTTCCTGATTAAGTTTTAGGTTAATTTGAGGATGCACTTTTTTTCAGAATTACAAAAAGAGGTATCTTGTATTTAGCATTTAGAGGTATCTTTTATTTATAGTCAATGATGCCCTCATTTGAGCAAACGTAACATTACCCTTATTGGGATCTATTGTAGTAGTAGTATTGTTGTAGTGTGTTATCATGTCAGCTGGCTGCATTGGCCTCAACTATAAATCATACCCGATGTTCCTGCATCATAACAGCACGTCTTTCAATCTCCTGTCTTCTAATTGTGTGAGCATTACAGAAGGTGACGTCATCACGATAGCCTGACCAGACAATTGGCTGCACAACAGCACTCTCTCTCTCTCTCTGCCCCGCACGCCTTTCTCCATCACCCCTTTGCAGAAGGCCTGCCCCATCTACGGGCCGGTCCAAATAAACACTACGAATGCAACCTTTCGGCCATTTAGCGCACATGCCACCTCACGGCAGGGCGCCGACATCTCAAGACGAGCCCCGGTCTGCGCGAGCAAATATTGACATGGGCGTCATTCAAATGCACTTTGCTGCGGCTGCGCCCCGGAACAAGGATGTCTGCTGGAGCTACGGCTAACGTTAGCTGCTTTGACGCTAGCGTGAATTACTAGCATATACATGTTGTTTTGTAGCGTAATATGTGTTAGCCGCGGTTTATTCTGTCCCCTTTAACGCTATTAACGCCCCCTCCACCCTGCCCCACCTTCCCCTCCTTGAACCCGCTACCGGGTTACAGAGATAACGTTGATGCCGACGCGCCGTTGTAAACAGTTTTAGAAGAAGAAAAAAAACTGGAGACAAAACGACGTCCACCGAATGTTTTCCTGCCAGTCTCTCCGCGGCACTCGGCGCCCTTACCCATTTCTGTGTTTACTGTCTTGCCTTTTCGGCCGCCTCACGGGCTGCAGGGGGATATTGTCGGTCATTCCTGCAGCTCCTGGTAGCGGGTGGAGGCGGTGGACGACAGCGCGCGCGCGACCGGCTGTCTCGGTTGTGGGCGGGACCTCCGCAGCTGTCACTCACACGGCGCGGGTTCGGCCTCGGTCAGCGGCATCCGTACGGGCCCGACGGGTCAATGCAACGTTTTGGGGTTTTGAGGCGTACGTTTATTAATAAAATTTACGCCGTCGTCAAATTGTAGTGGATTTTACCCAGCATTATTCCTCGTGATAGGTATTGCACCATTCGACATGCATTTCTCACGTTCATCAACAGTAGCATTCAAAGGTTTGGACACGCTTTCTCATTGAATTGAATGAGACATTGATGATTTAATAATAAAATGTAACTGCTGGTAATTTTACACAAGATATTAAGGACTCTTTTTGGGATTTTGTTAACCTATCGCTTCTTCTATGCAATTCAAGCAAAATTTGTAATCACTGGCATAAGTATTTCAATCTAGTTGTGTTTTGCGCTGGTCTATAGTGTATATCTGTCCTGTGCCATCCTTTAAATGTATCTATAAAACCGTGTTAAAGCCATTTTAGTCTTTGTGTCTCGTCTGTTATTTGTGATTTCACATGAGATACAAAAACGATTTCAAGGCGAATACACAAAACTTTCAGTAGATGTATCGTACACATGCTACTAATCTGTATGTCAAAATTGTACAAAAGCACTGTATAGTTGATCTAAAATGGAATGTGGACAAAATTGGAAAGCGTGGCTAAATTCTGGATGCAAATCGTTGTTCGTGGGCGATGCAAAACCCAGGGATTAATGGCTACTGGTATAGCAACTCATTCTTGAGAGCCATCTGAGGGTCAAGTGATATAAATTAGGCATGAAATAGATGTACAAATTTGCCTGAGCGATCAAAAAGGTTTCAGCCTGTATGTAGTTGGACGGATTTACTCCTTTATCAGTTCAAATAACAGTAAGTTCTGTAGCGTAGTAAAGACAAGGGGGAAATATTGAAAAAGTCACCCTGATTTATTTTTCAAAAATCAGAAAATATTTATGTGTAGGAAACATTTGAAGAACAAAAAAACATTTACATTGTAAACAGGCCAAATTGGCTCAACATCACTTGAACTGTAGAGACCAACTTTAAAGCAGTTCTGACATGGTTTGCTAAAGAAAAAGGCACAACTTGGCAAATGCATATCGATAAGGAATGTACAGCAGGGGCCCACAAAGTACTCTGACCACTCTGAGTTGTGTAAAGTGTCCAGTGATACATTCATTACTGTTCAACTCAGCAGGTTGAGAACGAGAACCTTATCCTGTACTCAAGAATGTATCGGAAAATGTACAGAGCATTGCGTTGAGTGTAGGGGGGGGGGGCAAGGAGGACAACTAAAATCTAAACGAGGTAGAACGCACCCCCTAAACTCAAGCATTTTGTGAATTATAAATTAATGAATGATGCTACAGTTGATATGATAACCTAGAAAGAAAACTTCTGACCATTTGCTCACGCAAAAAAATATGATAGGAGGGGATGTTTGCAAATTTGTTGATTTGCCCTTTCCCTGTTCAGCCATCACAATAAAAGCAGTGACAAGTAACTAGAAGATGTAAACATACTCAAACCTGAAATAAAGTGCAGGCATGAGATCATTGAGCATATAATAGCCTTTAGCTCTCAGCCAACTAAGTTTGATTCTGCAGATTTACAAGTGGGATATGCTAGTGGGGAAAATTGACTTTTTAAACCGATATATATATGAACTATGACATTCAATGCTACAATGTTGTACATGTCAAAACACTGATTTTCATTCCACTAGGCCTTCATAACAACCTTATCGTACAGGGAAAGACAACATAAACAACGTAGTTTCCAATTTAGGCACTTGGCTAAAAAGGTCTGAGTCTGTATGTCAGCACTGATGGAACAATGATGAAAGCCCATTTTGTAAACTACCGTATCCAAATAAGATGGACTGTTACAACTAGATTTAAATGGAGAATACACCAAAATAATATTTCAGTCTGATCAAAATGAGACATGCAGATGACGTTTACCACCACAAAAAATGTATAATGTCATAAAACCTATGGCACACAATAGGAGGGAAAGTAGTCATTCCAGGTACACACGTTAACTACATCATTATTTCTGAAAACTGAGACATTGTCTCCTCTTAAAAAAACAAAAAAAAAAGGAAAAAAACAAACAAAATCCATGCCCTGAAATTTCCCATTAAAGTCAAAATCCTTCAAAAAAGTATTGAGGAAACGGTCTGAATTAAAGCAGTTTCAAGTAAGTTATACATTCAAACTTTTGGATAGACAGCAAAACAAAAATTAAAGAGAAATACCCGCATTTAAATGAAATAAAACTACAGTAGCTATGTCAGGATCAACTAAAATTAACATTTAGTATCGAGAGGTGAGAGCTGCGATGAGGTTACTGGATAAATTGAAGCACATTCTACAGGGTTCTTTGTGAAAATTGATTGTGCCTCATTCAAAAGGAGATATTCAAAAACTGGAGTTCAGTTGGTAAATTGAAAATTCCTCCAAAAAACAAAACTAGTTAACTGCAATTTTACCCTCCTCCATGAAATGTGGGAACTGCAATTTTGGCACGCTGTCTGAACTGGTCTTCTCAATTTCCATGGCAGGCAAGCCAGAGTGGGATCCATCCATCTTCATGAGGCCTCCAGTTGATCCAATCAGAGGCCCACCGCCAGGACTCCCGGGGAGTGGGATGCCACCGCCCTGGATGACAGAGATTTCATTGGTCTTCATGGTAAGGCCCCCGCTGAAGGCGGAAGCATACTGGTTCCACAGAGACTGGTCAAAGTTCATTGGGGGAATGGCCAGCTCTTTGGGGGCGTGCAGGATCTCTGGCAACAACTTGGCCTCGGAACTCATGGCCATCAACGCCATGGGGTTGTCCAGGGACAGTCGCTGGCCGCGCCGTGATGTGTTGTTCCACATGTGAGTGCCGATGTGCACCTAAAAAAAAAAAAGACAAGACACTGTTAACCATCATCCTACCACAGTGCTTGATATTGCATCATTCAAGATCGTGCTTAGAAATGGCCAATTCGGCAGTTTGTCAGGCGTCAAGGAGTTACCTTTAGATTTCCCTTGGTAGTGAAAGCCCTGCCACAGATGTTGCAGGCGAAAGGCTTCTCCCCTGTATGGGTGCGCTCGTGGATCTGCAAGGCGCTGGCGGATGAGAAGTTCTTGCCACAGGCATGACACACGTGCTGTTTGGATGATCGTCGCGGTGCACTGGAGATGGACGAGGGCATGGATGTTCCCTGAGGCATGTGGGAGCTGAACAAACCATGAGGGCCCATGGGATTCTCAGGAGGAAGCTTCATCTCCAGGCTGGCCAGGCTCGACGGCATCCTCATGAAGGTCATGTTACTGGGAACTGTTGAATAAGAGGATTGAAAAAATTAGATCCAAAGCTTCAGACATGACTACCTCAAATTCCGCTTTCTTCTTATATTAAACTCACCGTAATCTCCATTTAGGAATGGCGTGCCCGGCTCTTCTTTGATCACTTTCGGGGTGAAGCTGCTGTTAGCTGTGAGGTCAAGGGCCCCACTGGACTCTGCGCCACCTTGAGCAGTGGCATCAGACTCCGGCTTGGACACATTATGGGCAAATTCATCAACGGCAGACTCAGGAGACTTGCTCATACTCGCGTTGTTGTTCAGCGGGGAGGAGGAGCAAAACGACACGGCGGACTCAGAGATGGCAGGACTGCGGCCATTCTGATATATCTGCTCTCTGGGAGCAGACGTGGGTTCTTTGGATGCTCCCTCTCCGTCCGAAGCGGTGCTGCTCTGTCGCTGCAGCGAAAGGGCAGAGGTGAGATTCTTCAAGACTTCGAGGCTGGAAAAAATGGCGGGAGCGGCATGGTTTTGCGGCGTTTCCTCTGGTGCGGGCGTAAAGGAATCTAAGGGGTTGTTTGGCTTCTGGGAGATCGGCTCAGACTCGCGGTCCTCCAGGCTCGCGTCGAAACCGCTAGTTTCCACAGACTTCTCTTCTGACAGAGAGGACTCCATTGCGTCAGATGCGTCAAACTGGTTTTCTGGCATCGGGGTGTTGGGGATCTGCCCGCCCATATGCATACGAATGTGCTGCTGCAGAACCACAGCATTGGTGAACTTCTTCTGGCAGATGGGACAGGAGTGCTGCATTTTAAGGGGAGTGTTAGCCCTGTGCACGCCGTAATGGGCCTTGAGGTTACCCTTGGTGGAGAACGCGCGGCCACAGATCTTGCACTTGTAGGGTCTCTCGCCCGTGTGCGTGCGGTAATGCATTTTGAGAGAGCTCTGGCAACTCAGCACCCTATGGCAGATTACACATTCATTGGGGTCACTGGTCCTCTTCTCCAGGCCGTCCACCATCTGCTGGAGTTTTGCGGTTCCAGAGCTTTGTTCTCCAAGGAGGACGTTGCCATTCAGATGATGCAGGGCTCCCAGCAGCTCTCCCTGATGAGCGTCCCTCAGATCCGCTCCAGTCTCTTGGCCGAACACAGTTGAGCAAACCGATGGGGAGCCATCACTTGTTGATGGGGAGGGTTTCTGAGAAAACTTGTCACCTGCAAAGTTGTCAAATGTCTTGAAGCCCGGTGCGGGTGACGGCTGGAAGCCACCCGCAGCAGGATGACCGATTATAGGCTTAACGTCGGTCATGTTTGACTCGTCCATGGGCACAGACATACCAAAGGGAATGCCGCTGCTGGTGGGGATGTTGTCGAGATGTTCTGGCACAGGATGAGGATTCATGCCAATGTTAGGATACTTGTCTCTATGCCTCTGGAAATGCACTTTGAGGTTTCCTTTAGTCGTAAAGCGGTTTCCACAAATGTTACACTTGAAGGGCCTCTCGCCGGTGTGGGAACGCAGGTGAATCTGGAGAGCACTGTCGTTGCCAAAGCTCTTCCCGCAGTACTTACACTTATGCCTGTATACGGAGTCACCGTTCTTTAACTCTGGTAGGGGGTTTGCGGTCTTTGTCTTCACTTTTTTGGAGGATTCCATCCCCGATTGGATACTACCGAAGGTGCTGGTGAAACCCATGACACTCGGCGATTGGGGCAGTTGTGAGCGGGTAGCCAGATCTGGAATGCCCTTGAAAATGTCCGTTTTAGAAGTCATAGATTCCATTTGCCCGGGTAGAGAGGGAGGGATGCCAGGGGTCAGAGGTACTTTGCCTTGCTTCATGGTTGCCATAGAAAGGCTCTGACTGCCGGTCCTTTTTCCGATCAGTGCTGCTGCAGCAGACAACTGTTGCGACAGATGCGCACCGAGGGCTTTCAAAGGGTCCATCACCGCCCCGACCGATGACTCTACACCCTGTGGAGTCATTGTGGCGACTTGGATTCGGATCTGTTCCGTGAGCTGGATTTGCTGTAGCTGCTGTTGCTGGAGGAACACCAACTGTTCCAAGATAACGGGGATGGCCTGCATGACTTCTTGTGATGAGGACAGAGGTGTAATGTTTGAGTAATGTTGGGAGACGGCCACTTTGGTGTCCGCCATGGTTTCAAGAGTGACGTTTGAATTTTGCATTTTCTGCGGGGGATGGAAAGTCATCTCGGGGCTTGCAGGCATTTCCGTCTGATCATGCGGTCCCGAGTCATCTGCGTTCATGCTGGAGTCTTCCTCCGCTCTCTCCGGATGTTCTGTATTGACATTTGATAGGGAATGGCTGCTGGACTGGTCGTCGTCATGGTCACTGGTAAGGCCTTCGGGAGAGCTTTGGGAATATTCCTCAGGCACTTCATTGCCGTCTCCGTCTTTCATGATGACCACTTGTTGACCTTTAGTGCATTTTTTCTCATGTTCTAGAAATTCTGCTTCATCAAAGAATTCAGCACAACACTTGTTACAGACCCTGGTCTCGTCCAATCGGAATCTCTTGGCTTCATTTGCAGTTTCCTTGGTGTTATTCTCGAGGAGAGTCCCTAAAAGAAAAGAATAAAGGATTGGGATGAATGCACTTGATGTATCGAGGACAATATCGCAGTCAAAATAATAAATAAGAGCTATGCCATAGCAAAAAAAGACAAAAAATATTTTTTACTTTAATTCTGTTGAGATTAGTAAAATTATTGTATTAGAAAATGTTTACATTTTTGTTGGGATTGTCACAACAGGCTAATTCTATGGCATTTTAAGCTGTAGTGTAGTATTCTTTGGTTTATCTCGTAAAGACATTCCTTGTCTTTTGTTGACTCCCTGTAGGTCACTGAACTGTGCTGTAAGGTACTTTGAATTTGCCCAAAGGCCAGCAGAGGGCAATCATTTCCCTTTGACATCACCTCGAACAATGTCCAGAAAGACAAAGAACCATAGGCATTAGATTACAGTTTGTGAAACACTCCCAAAGACTTGCTGAGAATCACATCCATTCCCAGTGCTACGTGTGAACAGCGTAAAAATAACACCAAGAAACATATAGATTCCTCTATGATCCATTTCTACAAAAAAACAATGTGATGTCCAGGTTGGTATTTACAGGAAAATAACAATATTAAGTTTACAATGCAAACCACGGGCGGACAAAAACATGAATGGGGGCAATCTAAAGTTGATTAACTTCAAGCATTTTCACACCCTGTGAAAGGCTCGTAAGTGCTCCAAGTGAACGTTTTAATTTGTCTGCTAACCAAGAGGCCATTTCACAACTGGGTGTATTGTTAAATGCTGATGCCTCTGAGAAAGGGGGTAGACCACCTGTTTGCATTTGCCCAAGGAAACTGTTGGACTTGTTAATTACTCACCAGGAGGTATGGAAGCCAGAGTCACACACACAGACACACACCAGTTGCAAACTACATTACCCCTTGATTTGTGAGTTAAACAGTAAGAAGGGTTGAGCCAGCCCCCCCAACACAAACACACACACACTCCACAATAAAGCCATTCATTGTCAACAGGGATGTTACACAGAATGTGCAACATCGAGCACATTTAACTGAGACTCTTTCCAGTAAAATCACACGCTATCCATTACAAAGTTTTGTTTTTTTTAAATGAAATTGGGGGGGGGGGGGGGGGGGGGCCCACCCCGTAGGTTTACACTTTAAGGCGCCAGAACCGGACAGAACACGTTTAAGGGGGGGGGAGACACCGGGGCCGAATTAAACATGGCGGGGATAATCCCGGGGGGGTCCCCAAATATGTAATAGTTTATTCAACATTTGTTCTTTCAAAAAAGAAAAAAAAAAATTTTCTAATTATCAAAAAAGGTGAGATCTGCGCCAGCAGTTTCGGGAGTTTGCACCGAAACGCGCACCACCCCCCCCGTCTCCACTGCTCCATCCCCCCACCTCACCGCATATGTACGAAAGGAAACAGTCGTGCATTAAACTGGGGGATTTATTGCCTTTTGCTCTGCTTACTCCAGAGTCACACTTCACGCAGGTTTTTAATGTACCTTTGTTTAAAAAAAAACCTCAATGATCGGGCGCATCTACAAACAAATTCCACCGAAATTGATCAAAACATGTGAAAAGTTACATTAAGCAAATTCAATGATAAATTCAATATGGGGATGATTCAATTTGGAGGTAATCGGTAACAGGCTGCCCCTTTAAATCGGGTCACAGAGATATTAAATACGCATTTATATTTGCTCTAACATGAGAACAATTAGTGGTACCAGAATGATATATTAAATAGGGGGGAAAGGGAACAAAAGCGGACATCCTGAGCAGCCTACGTAGCCACAGAGAGTATCCCAAAATCAACAGGTAGCAACATATGCGCCAACACAGCCCCAAAAGCCGAATTCTGCCCACGACAGATGCAACAAGTGATCACATTTAGGGAAAGAAATCGGGCAATTAGTTGAACAACTTCATCGCTGGACTCGTTTTCATGGGAACCACTTTTTTTTTTTAAAGCCCACAGTGTTGTAATATCCATCGCGTAAAAAAAAAATCCAACTGTAGATTTGACTCCGGGTCAATTCAAACGGACAGCAACAGGTCAAAGTGCGAGAGGAGCGATGCACAAAAAAGTTGCCCCCCTACAAACACGCACACACGTTGGGATAAAATGTCTATGGCGTGGCGGAGCCCCTCGATACGTTTAAAAGCCCTCACATCGAACAGCGCAAACTTACCGTTTCCCGACGACTCGGGCTCGTCGGAGTTGATCTGCTGCGGCTTGGATTGCTTGCGCCTCGACATGGTGCAACCATCAGGAGCAAAGAGTTGCCAACAATATTCCGCTCCTTCTTCTGCAAATTCTTCGGCTTTGGGGGAAAATTGCACACCCCCTCCGTCTCCCACCCAACGAAAAAAAACCTCAACTAGAAATGCGCATGTCGACCCGTAATTATTATTATCAATAATGCATTGCGATTTATCACGGTGCCCTGACAGCTGATTGGCTCCAGTCCAAGAGCACGCACATTATTCAAATGGAGCTGCCCATCGACGAGCGCAGCGCAGCGCCGGGAGGGGGCGGGAGGAGCCATGCGAGTGGATGGAGGGTGGAGGGTGGAGGCAGGGTTAGTAACACCCGACCCATCCCTCTTTCCCCATGTTCCTAAAAAAGAAAAGAAGAAAATAGACGATATATATAAATATATAATGTTAATGATAGACACAAGTGACCTAAAGATCGGCCGTCAAAACATACTAAATAAAAAAGCACGAGATACCTTACGTTCTACATTTAATTAACTATTACATTAGGGTTTTTTTTAATCTTTTGCTTGTATTGTCTTTTTTTCTTGCAGTTATTTATTTCTTCTACTGGTTCACAATCATCATAAATAGTCAGAAACAGTTGTGTTGTTAAAATGGTTTGCTCATGTATGGAATTTATCTTGGGGTGGATTGGTTCAATAAACTACAATACACACAGTGACAAACTCAAGGTGCATGTTTTAAAAATAAAAAGATGTTCAATGGGAGAATATGAAATAGTACACAAAATAGGTTTCATAAATAGGATCTGCTTTTAAAGTGGGAGTATGTATTTATGATTTTGATGTTATGCTCAGTTGTGGGCATACTCTCTATTATTCTTCTACTATTCTTTTTGCCATTTATAGATTCATTTGAATATTCTTCCATGAAATATAAGTGATATGGGATAGCTGTTTGTTGGTTGTAATGGAATACACGTTTAACTGAATTCTCCCAATCAAGTCCAAAAGTCAGCAGTTGTGTCTCAGGAATGTAGCGTATGAAAGATGCACACACACACACCACAACAATTCTGTTTAATTCAATTTTTTTAAGCTACATTATATATAAGCTACATTAAATATAGGTGGAAATAAAGACAAATACACATCTGCAAAGCAAAGAATAAAAAAAACTACTCTTGTCATTAGTTCATCTATTTTATTTTGGAACATTATGTCAGACAAAGCGACAAATGTCACAATCTTCAAATGCATTGGGGCTGATCTGTTACTGTCTACTCTGTAGTTGTGTTGGGAAACTAGAAAGACGCGGCTACATTCGGCTTTTGGGCTTTTTGGTGATGTGCCAGAAACATTCCAGAAGGTTCTCGACACGTCCATTAACAGAGAACTCACACAATGGGGAAGTCCTTATTGGTGTCGCGGTCATCTCCTCCGCTTCACTGAGACCTCCATGACAGTGTACTACATTACATCTTCTGATAACGCTCAAACCTGTGAGGTCAAAGATCCCACACGGCGTCCGTGATAACACAGGTTGTGCGCGCTTTTGGCTTCACCTAAAGGATCCAGACCACAACTTTAAGACGAATAGCATGAATACATGAGCTATGCAGGAAATAGATACCGCCCTATATGCACATTTCCTTATGCAGGCTGGAATTTGCTTTTGGAATGTGACACATTGAGGACATACCAAGCTGTGTGCAACTGAGGGGGTCAGCTGAGATCATTGGAGTGTGGGAAAAAGTATTTTTGGATACAAACGTATCATGAAACAGAAAGAGAAAGCAGAATATTCTCAATGTGGCTCTTAGAGGGACAACAAAAAGGAAAAAAAAACAACACACCAAAGATTAATAAGGAAGTTCTCATTTATTCAAAGACAACAAGGACACGGGGACGTCATTCATACATTTGCCTTAAATGCAAAGGTAAACTCTACACCTATCAATTAAGCCTATAGACATCATTGTATTTCAGTCTGAAAGGCCTCCGCATGTGTTATATAATGTCACAGCTGATAAGTGTGAGACAAAGACGAGCCAATATATTCAGATAAACAAATGCCCTTTAAGAGACTGGTTGAAGGTGAAAAAGAGGGGAGTGCTGTCTAGACGGTTTATTGCCCCAATAAGAGAGCTGCGCTTCAATACGCTGTTTCTTCTACGTTCAATCTAAACAAGCCAAACTGTGTGCAGTTGTAAAAACTGCAGTTGTGGGAACCAGCTGGACACATCAGCCACATGGCATACCTTTCTTTGAATGACAAGAACACAAGGATATTATAAGAGACAAGTAAATGAAAATCAGTGTTCACCTTGACCGGCGCAGTCGAGACAGTGAGAGAAAATAAAAAGCGTCTTACTGCTTCGAAGAAAAAAAAAGCCTACTTGTTAAGAGCAATAAGCCGCACAGAGAGACGGATCCTCGTCCCTTTCTCAGCCCGGTGTCAAAGTGATAATAGTTTGCCGGCGACTGCGGTCCATTGTGATCAAACATGTGCCGGTGCCTTGTTTTTGTGGACCTGGTGTGTCCCAGTGAGCACGGAAACCGTGACTTATCCTGCGGCCTTCTACAGGTCATGCATCTGACAATGTATTGATTATATTCCCCGATGGACCCTGGATAGTTAATGTTCAGTACTTCCCTTCCATTCGTTCCCCTCTGGAGGTTACACTACGCTGCGAGACGGAAAGACGTCAAGTTTCTCACATGTCAATGGTCGAGTTTTACGACGACCTTCCAGTGGACAAACAATAAATAATTGCCTCAACACTTGCTGGGGAATTGTGAATTGAACATGTGTGCTTTTTTTAAGCAGCGGAATAAGATGAGTTCTGTTTGTTTCATGAAAAAAAGCCTGTTTTACTAATCAGTTGGTTTCATCTTAAGCTTTATGCTAAAATAACTTAACCTCCACCCACACATGTGTTTTTGTGATTGTTTGGCCTTCGCTGCGCGGAAATCAGTATCACTAGTTTGACACTAGAAGGACGTTTTCACGTTCATCCGCGCCGTCGCCTTAAATCTGAGCAGCGTGAATGATTACTTACTTCAATAGCAACTTACACAAGTGTGAAGTGGAAACCTGAAACCTGAAACAGCACAGATGCACGTATAATTGATGTCTCATCAAAGAAGGAGGCATCTGGTGTGCTGCAACTTTTAAAAATATAACAAATCTGCATGTGAAGACAACACGCTCGACATTAAATAGTCTTTAAAGCTGAGTGTCTTTATTTGTCTTTGATTTCTGGAGGAGGAGATTCACACAACTACTTGGACTCAAATAGATTATGATCTGCAGTTTATTCCGAGACTCCCCACATTGAGTCACGCACTTGATGAGTCCTTGCGCGTTACGATCTGACTTCTGGAGAAACACAAAAGAGCATTAACACATCAAATAGGAGCCAGTATAAACGTTTCCTATGTGGCCGCATCGGCCCTGAGTTTTTCTCCACACATTCTTGTCATGTCACAACATACACGTTTTGCTTGTAAGCAATCTATTCAAACCCCTCTGTTTTCGGTGCACAATCATCTAAATAGGGTCGAAAATCTAGCTAATACCGGAGGCTCACGGCAATTTCTATAGGCAGACTGTTTTCATTATTGATCCGCGAACACCCTTTCAAATGTGCACCTTTTCATGACACAAATATGTAGTTTCTTTGTTGGGGAACATCAGCCTAGAATGGAGGCTGAGGGCATCGAGGTGTTACGTGTTTGTCTGATGAACCAATATTGTTTTTCTCCCCCATCATTGAACATGGCTGTTCAATGCTCACTTAAACCAAACAGCGAGCCACGTATACTTACTGATCAACTGTAAACACAACGGATATATAGAGAATCTCCTGTGATTCATGGAGTTTCCGAACCGCCCCCCTGCACTGAAAAATGTGTTTATTATTACTTCACTTGGATGTTTGGCCTTCACTGTGCAGAATGATGTATGTGCAGAGTTTGCAAAGAAATCAGTGACACGGCCACAAGGTTGTAACAGCGCATTATTTGGGATGTCGCGGCCATTTATTGCATTTAACACTGCGAGATGGGGCTGAGAGTTTGACACTAGATGGCTGTTTTCACATTTGTCTATTGAAGGCGAGCGTTTTGAGTTCAAGACTGTGTCAATCTTGTAACATCGCTGCAGGTTTGGAAGCCAAGATGACATTTACACACGTGTGAATTCCAACACACAACAAACATGCATTTCAACATGTCTAAAGGAGATCCAGAAATGGCTTCAACACCCATCAGGAAGTAGAAGTGACTGACTGAATGACTGCTCATTGGTCTCGCACTGTTCACTGGGAGGTCGGGTGTCCTTGGGGCTGGAAGGAAGAAATGTGCTCAGGATTTCCTAAACCTGTGTTTTGAACAATAATTCCTTGTCAAGATCGTTGTGAGCGCACTTTATTCTTCATAGCTTTTGGTTTCTAATGAAGGCAACAGTCAAATATACTGCTCAACCCTGAGTGTGTGACCTGTGCAAGTGTGTGTTGGGTGCAGGGGGCGGGCGGGTGAGGGGAGATATCAGCGGCCCACACATGGCTGTAATTTAATGGAGAATTGCCCAGTGGTTCCTGTTCAGAGGTAAACACACCAATAGTCGGGCCTTTGTTATTGCATGACTATGACAAGCACCTCCATCAATAAACAATAGAGTGTTGGGGGGCAACAAGGACTCACTGTATGAAGAGAGAACCCCACTGTGTCCACTTTTCCCCCATTCTCTTCTATTTAACCGCACAGCAAAGAAGCGTATGTTGATGCTGTTCAATAACGAGCCTGGAGAGCCGAAGCCACAGACCATGGACAAAGCAAAGCCACAGATGTAGCACTTTCTGTCATTGATTTACATTTTTCTATATGTTTATCTACACAAATGTAGTTTTGGAGATGAAGAGGTCAAACTTGAAGAATTTGAGACACAATAAACAAAGAGATAGGGAGAGCTTGCCAGTCACTATCAAGCTGTGAGTCAACAGGGAGCCAATCCTTCAAATCTGAGATGTAATCTGGGCCGGGGTCATAAACATTTACAGGGCGGGAAGTGCTGACCAGAGGGCCTGCAGGATATCAGTCCTTTCTCACTTCTAATGACCTTATGAGAATGTGCCACTCATTCAACTGCATCCTGCAAAACTCCTATTTTGTAGTGATTTACAAATGTTGGTTTGTTTGTTTAACTACATTCAAACAGTAGGAAAATGTCCAAAATGTACCTGACTAATCCAACTGATATG